ATATCCTGTGTACTCTTCACCCAGTTTTCCCCATTGGTTACATGTTATATAACAACAGTACCATATAAAACTCAGGAAATCATGGTACAAATTCAGGGCTTATTCAGATTTCACTAGTTTTACATGGACTTCTTTGTGTGTATATTTTATATCGTTTTCTTCAATTTTGTGACATGTGTAGATTAATGTAACAGCTACCCTAACTAGGACCCAGAACTCTCCTGGTGATCACAAGCCTCCTTCATACATCCCTTGATAGCCTTATCTCCCTCTCCCCATGGCGAATACTAATCTGTTCTCCATTTCTATAATTTTATTTCAAGAATGTTTTATAAATGGAATCATCAGTATATAACTCTCAGTGATTAGCTTTCTTCCCTCAGCATAATTCCCTGTAGGTCCATCAATAGTTGTTGCCTGTATCAATAGTTCGTTTTCACTGCTGAGTAGTATTCAATGGCATGGACATATCACAGTCAGTTTAACCATTCACCTATGGAATGACATTTAGATTGGTTCAATTTTTTGGCTACTATGAGTAAAGATGCTATGAACATTTGTGTACAGGTTTTTTGTTGTTGTTGTTTTTGTTTTGTTTTGTTTTGAGATGGAGCCTTGCACTGTCGCCCAAGTTGGAGTGCAGTGGCACAATCTTGACTCACTGCATCACTGCAAGCTCTGCCTCCCCGGTTCACACCATTCTCCTGCCTCAGCCTCCCTAGTAGCTGGGACTACAGGTGCCCGCAACCACATCTGGCTAATTTTTTCTGTTTTTAGTAGAGATGGCGTTTCACTGTATTCTCATTAGCAATGTGTGAGTGATCCAGTTTCTCGTCATCCTTTCCAGTTAATGGCATTATGGTTTTATTTATCTTTTAATTTATGTTTGAGATGAAGTCTCACTCTGTTGCCCAGGCTGGAGTGCAGTGGCGTGATCTTGGCTCACTGCAACGTCTGCCTCCCCGGTTCAAGCAATTCTCCTGCCTCAGCCTCCTGAGTAGCTGGGACTACAGGCATGAGCCACCACGCCCGGCTAATTTTTGTATTTTTAGTAGAGATGGAGTTTCACCATGTTGGCCAGGCTGGTCTCCAATTTCTGATTTCAGGTGATTCACCCACCTCGGCCTTCCAAAGTGCTGGGATTACAGGCGTGATTCACTGCACCCAGCCTCATTATGGTTATTTTTTATTTTAGCCATCTGATAGGTTTACGCTGTAGTTTCAATGGTAATTTTCCTAATGGCTAAAAATGCTGAGTATCTTCCCATGTATTTATTTGCTATCTGTATATATACTTTGATGATATATCTACTCATGTCTTCTGCTCATTTTCTGATTGGATTGCTTATTTATTTACTTTTTAGTATTGAGAGTTTTTTCCCATATAGTCTAGATGCAACTCCTTTTTGTTGGATTTTTTTAAAAAATCATTTTTTAAAGCAATTTGATTATTATATATGCCTTGGCATGACTTTCTTCATGATTCCTCTGCTTGGGGTTGGTTGAGCTTCTTGGATCTATGGATCCGTAGTTCTATCAAACTTTACACAAATTGGTCATGAGGTCATGTTTTCCCTCCCTCCCTCCCTCCCTCCCTCCCTCCCTCCCTCCCTCCCTCCCTTCCTTCCTTCCTTCCTTCCTTCCTTCCTTCCTTCCTTCCTCTCTCTCTTTTTCAGTCTCACTCTGTTACCCAGGCTGGAGTGCAGTGGTGCAATCTTGGCTCACTACAACTTCTGCCTCCTGGGTTCAAGTGATTCTTGTGCCCCAGCCTTCTGAGTAGCTGGGATTACAGCCACCACACCTGGCTAATTAATTTTTTTTTTTTTTGTAGAGATGCGGTTTCACCATGTTGGCCAGGCTGGTTTTGAACTCCTGGCCTCAAGTGATTTGCCCACCTCAACCTTCCAAAGTGCTGGGATTACAGGCGTGAGCCACTGTGCCCGCTCATGATTTATTCAGATACTTTTCTGCCACCCCCTCCTTTCCTGGGACTCCAATTACACATATTTCAAATAGTTTCATATTGCTCCAGAGACCTCTTAATTTTTTCGGTCTTTTCCCCCCTGCATTTTACTTTGGATAATTTATTTTGCTATGACTTCAAGTTCACTAATTTTTCTTCTGCAGTGTCTAATATGCTGTTAACTCTATCCAGTGTATTTTTCATTTCAGATATTATATTTTTATCTCTAGAAGTTCATCTTGGGGTTTATTTTGTACCTATCATGTCTCTCCCTTTAACATGCTCACTGTTTTCCCTATTTTCTTGAACTTACAGAGTGTATTTATAATAAACATCCTTGTCCATTAATTGGATCTTCTGTGTCATTTCTGGATCTGTTCTATTGATTGGATTTTTCTCCTGACAATCAGCCATATTTTCCTGCTTCCTTGTATGCCTGGTAATTTTTATTTATTTATTAAAAAATTTCTTTGACACAGGGTCTCGCTCTGTCACCCTGGCTGGAGTGCAGTGGCAAAATCATGGCTCACTGCAGCCTCAACTTTCCAGGCTTCAGTGATCCTCCTACCTCAGCCTCCTGAGTAGCTGGGCACCTGCTACATCCCTGGCAAATTTTTGCATTTTTGGTGAAGACAGAGTTTCACCATGTTGCCCAGGCTGGTCACAAACTCCTGAGCTCAGGCAATTCACCCTCCTTGGCCTCCCAAAGGGCTGGGATTACACGCATGAGCCACTGTGCCTAGCCTGCCTGGTAATTTTTGATTGGACGCTGGACACTTTGGATTTTACATTGCTGGGTTTTTTTTCTTTTTCTTTTTTTTTCTTGCTCCATCTTCTGGTTTTCTAAAGTTTCTGGGTTTTATCATACTGCTTTAAATATTGTTGGGTTTTGTTCTGGAATGCAATTCAGTTACTTGGAATCAATTAGATCCTTCCAAGACTTGCTTTTGAGCTTTGTTAGGGCACATCTAGAATAAACTTTAGTCTAGGGCTAATTTGGCCTATCATAGAGGTAATTATTCTTTGATGATTGACCCTGATGCCCAATGTATTTGGAGATTTTTCCATTGCAGCTTGTAGGAGCTATTCTCATTCCCCTGTGAGGTCCAAGGATTGCTCTGCATACAGGTGGTTCATTCTCCAGCCTCAGGTGGTTTCTTACAAGCATGGGTAGATAAATATTCAGCCAAAGACTCAAAAGACCCTTCTTCAGATCTCCAGAACTTTCTCTCTGTGCAACTTCCTCCTCTCCAAGTATTCTTCCTATGGATTCTAGCTGCCTTGATTTCCCTGAAGTTCCACTCTGTCTCTTCTGCTCAGTGAGACCTGTAGGCTCTGTTTGAATTCTCCCTCCTTGTGCTATGGGCTGGAGACTCCAGGCACTGAGCAGGAGCAATTACAGAGTTCAGCTTGTTTGCTTTCCTTGCTCAGGGATCTCAGTCTTGTACTACCTGCTGCCCAATGTCTGAAAAACCTTTGCACCCACATATTTCAGCCAGTTTTTTAATTGTTTAAGGCAGGAAGGTTTACCCATTGCCAATTACTCCATCATAGCTAGAATAAAATTATAACTAATTTCTTTTTATTGTTATTACCGAATGGTATCCACTGAATGGAGATACCATGTTTAACCTTTCACCTGTTATTGGATATGTGATTCTTTGCAATATCTGGCTATTATGAATGAAGCTATACAAATCTTTGTGTAGACATGTTTTCATTTCTCTTGCTTAAACACCTAGGAGTGGCATGTCTTGATCATAGGTTATTGTATATTTAGGTCTGTAAGACGCTGTCAGTTTTCCCAAGCAGCTGTATCACAGTTCCCGTTGTTCCATATCATCACCAACATTTGATAGTCAGTCTTTGAAATTTTTACCCATTCTAATGACTTTATAGTGGTCTCGTTGTGGGTTTAGTTTGCTAGTTCTTGTTAGCTGTGATAATCAGTTGCGTGCTTATTGGCCATTTTTACATCTGTTTTTATGAAGTTTAACTTCGTATCTTCTTTTTTTTTTTTTTTTGAGACAGAGTCTTGCTCTGTTGCCCAGGCTGGAGTGTAGTGGCGCGATCTCGGCTCACTGCAAACTCCGCCTCCCGGGTTCACGCCATTCTCCTGCCTTAGTATCCTGAGTAGCTGGGACTACAGGCGCGTGCCACCACGCCCGGCTAATTTTTTTGTATTTTTAGTAGAGACGGGGTTTCACCGTGTTAGCCAGGATGGTCTTGATCTCCTGACCTCATGATATGCCCACCTCGGCCTCCCAAAGTGCTGGGATTACAGGTGTGAGCCACTGCACCTGGCCAACTTCATATTGTTTTTACATTTTTTCCCCTTGGCTTGTATATCTTCTTATTTAATTATAAGAGTAGTTTTTATATTCTGTATATACATTTCTTGCAGATAAAATAGAGTCTATACTTTTTTTTCAGACAGAGTCTCGCTCTGTTGCCTAGGCTGGAGTGCAGTGGCACAATCTTGGCTCATTGCAACCTCTACCTCACAGATTCAGGCAATTCTCCTGTCTCAGCCTCCCAAGTAGCTGGGACTACAGATATGCACCACCAAGCAGTTAATTTTTGTATTTTTAGTAGAGACAGGGTTTCACTATGTTGGCCAGGCTGGTCTCGAACTCCTGACCTCAAGTGATCCACCCACCTTGGCCTCCCAAAGTGCTGGAATTACAGGTGTGAGCCACCATGCTTGGCCCAGAGTCTACTTTTGACCATGCCTTTTTGCTGGATTGAGAGGAGTCAGAGGTAGTGGTAAGATAAACAGGCCATTGTAGTCACCAAGGAGAGAGATGATAGTGTCTTAGACTAGAATGTGGGTTTAGATGGAGGAAAGTAAGTGAATTTTAAAATTATTTTTAAAAAGATTTCAAGGGATTCTGGGTCTACTTGGTTTTTCCTTTTGTCGTCTGAATGTCTCTATATATGTATGTTTATATACATGTTTAAATATGTATGTGTGTGTGTGTGTATATATATATATATTTTTAAACCTGAATCACTTCTATGCTTAAATTAACTACAGGAGAATGTCTCAGGAACCCACGACATACTCCCTTTTCCTATTCCTTTTTCTGAGTCATGGAGTGTCGAGTTATACAGTGCCAAATTCCAGGCAGGGTAAGTCCTGAGGGAAGAATCACCCTTTGTGGTTTCCACACAGTTTAGGGAATGTGGTGGGATAGATACATTAGGTACATGATGCTGTAAGTTGTTTTTTTTTGGGGGGGTGTGCATGTATGATTTTTCAGGATTATTCTAAGAGGATTTTTCAAGCCACGGTTTTCTCAGAGTGGACAGTTATAATTCAGATTCACTAAAAATTTCCTTTATGAGTGGCTTTCTGGGGCTTTTCCCCTAACCTGTATTTGTAGTTTTGAAGGTCACACAATTCAATTCTAGTTATACATTCAATGGCTTTCTTACAGATTTGCATCCATTGTTGCAAAAAATGGCGGTGAGTATTCTATTTTCTCTTAATCAGAATCCCCTCTACTGGAATTGCCAACTTTTGGATGTTATACTTGATGTTATCTCTTTGTCTTTTAGGAAGAAATAATAGATGGAAGCTATCTGAATGGTAATGTGCCCCCTCGGTCTCCACTTGCTGCTTCTAAGAATTTCAAACAGAATGCGGCTGTGATCTCTCTGGAATGATTCCTTTTAAAGATGTCTTTTCATTTTATTCCCATTGTAGCACTGCTGGATCTCATACAGTTTCAAAGGTAACCTGCCCTAGAGGAGAGGGGAAGGGATGGGATAGATTTTTAATAAAAATTCTTAATGGAAGTCTCTTAATTGTAAAAAGTAATATGTGCTCATTACAAAAAATGTCAATCAATGCACAATGTTTTAAAAGTCAACACCCTTGCTCCACAGACATCATTCTTCCTCACTCTAGCGTAAGAGCCTTTTTTTTTTTTTTTTTTTTTTTAAACAGAGTTTCACTCTTGCGGCCCAGGCTGGAGTGCAGTGGTGCTATCTTGGCTCACTACTGCAACCTCTACCTCCGGGGTTCGAGCAATTTTCCTGCCTCAGCCTCCTGAGTAGCTGGGAATACAGACACCCATCACCACACCCGGGTAATTTTTGTATTTTTAGTAGAGATCGGTTTTCACCATGTTGGCCAGGCTGGTCCCAAACTCCTGACCTCAGGTGATCTGCCCACCTCAGCCTCCCAAAGTGCTGAGATTACAGGCATTAGCCACCGTGCCCGGCCTAAGAGCTGAAATTTATTGAGTGCTTTCTATGTAGTCGGTATTCTACTAAGTGCTTGGTATAGAAACAATCTAATCCTCACAAGTGCCACACAAGGTAGGTCCTGTTGTTATCCCATTGCACACAACGTGAAACTGAGGACAGGAAGGGTAAATCAAGGCCACACAACTGGGATGTGAACCAGTGGCCTGGCTCCAGGACCCATTTCCTTTACTTTTGCGCTATAAGCTGCATATAGACAGATACCAGGGACATGGGGCAGGGAGGTAGGTAGTGTGGAAATGCCAATATTAATAAACAATTCTAATATGATGAGTACTATGAAGGAGAAGAAATAGAGATCTTGGGGCCCCATGTCAGGGATACCCAGTTATGTTGAAGTGAAAGATCCCCATAGCCCCTCCTTTCCCTAAGATAACACCAATGGATACTTTTGGATATATTCTTTCAGTCTAAGTATTTTATTTATTAATTTAACCATCCATCCATCCATCCATCCATCCATCCATCCATCCATCCATCCGTCTCTTTATAAGATTACAGGCCAGGCACGGTGGCTCATGCCTGTAATTCCTGCACTTTGGGAGGCCGAGGTGGGCAGATCACGAGGTCAGGAGTTGGGGACCAGCCTGGCCAACATAATGAAACCCTGTCTCTACTAAAAGTACACAAAAATTAGCCAGGCATGGTGTTGCGTGCCTGTAGTCCCAGCTACTCGGGAGGCTGAAGCAGGAGAATCACTTGAACCCAGGAGGCAGAGGTTGTAATAAGCCAAGATTGAGCCACTGCACTACAGCCTGGGCAACAGAGTGAGACTCTGTGTCAAAACAAACAAACAAACAAACAAAAGATTACAAAAGGCTATTCATAGGCTGGGCATGGTGGCTCACCTCTGTAATCCCAGCACTTTGTGAGGCCAAGTTGGGAGGATCGCTTAAGGCCAGGAGTTCCAGCCCAGCCCAGCCCGGCCAACATGACAAAATCCCATCTCTACTAAAAATACAAAAATGAGCTGGGTGTGGTGGTGCACACCTGTAATCCCAGCTACTCAGGAGGCTGAGGCAGGAGAATCGCTTGAACCTAGGAGGCAGAGGTTGCAGTGAGCCGAGATTGCACCACTGCACTCCAGCCTGGGTGACAGAGTGAGACTCTGTCTCAAAAAAAAAAAAAAAAAAGAAAAGAAAAGAAAAGGCTATTCATGAGCATTTACTGTGTGTTGGGCACTACCTTACACAGTTTTCATGTGTGAACAAATTTTAATCTCACAGTTGTTAGCAATATTTCATAGAAAGGGAAACTGAGGCACAAAAATTTAGCAAATTGTCTCAAGTCACACAGCTAAGTGATGAAACTAGGATTCAAATCCAGTTTGGAGCCCACACTCTTAACTATGCTATTCCAGCCTCTCATGGTATACCTAGCATCTGCTTTTTAAATGTACATCTTTCTAACTCAATCAGTTTGGATTGTAGTCAATCTAAGTAGATTGTTAATGGAAATTAGAATATTGCATACAGCTTAGAAACTTGGGAATTGGCTTTGAGAGAATGGGATCCAGGCAGATTCCTAGAATTGGAAACTCTTCTATCACTGTGACTGGTTAAGAAATTTTTTACTTCAGGCTGGGCACCGCGGTTCACTCCTGTAATCCCAGCACTTTGGGAGGCAGAGGTGGGAGGATTGCTTGAGCCCAGGAGTTTGAGATCAGCCTGGGCAACATAGTGAGACCCCATCTCTACAAAAAATAAACAAAATTAGCTGGGTGTGGTGGCATGCACCTGTGATCCCAGCTGCTTGGGTGGCTGAGGTTGGAAGATCACTTGGGCTGGGGAGATTGAGGCTGCAGTGAGCCGTGATCGTGCAACAGAGCAAGACCCTGTTAAAAAAAAAAGAAAAGAAAAAAGAAAGAAAGAAAAGAAAAGAAAAAAGGAAAGAAAAGAAAAGAGAAACCTCCCACTTCCAAGCACAAAGTTTCTAACACCCCTGGTCCATCCCGACCTGTCCCCTGGGCACTTAGCTAGTACGGTAGTGCTTGTAGGAGAATCTGTCATTGTGATCTTTTCCCATCTGTCTTCAACTGAAGCTCCCACGTGTGGACGGACGACCTGTCCCACAGAGTCCTGGCCTATCTGAATTCCCGGAATGTTGCCTTCACCATCTCCAGCCTGCAGGTGTGTACCTGAGACCCATCTTTCTGTTCCCATCTCAGTGCTCAGGGATTGCAAACTCAGGGGCCAGGTAAATTGGAGAAGTGGGCTGGATGTAGAGACAGTCTTTACTTCTGCAAGGAAAAGGGTTCTGTACAGTTCTTCTTGAAACGTGATATAAGATATTTTGTCTTTCTTTCATTTTCCCACCTTTGATGGAGACATGATATATTAGGGTATAGGCTGAGCTGCTATAACAAAAAGACCCCCAGAGGACAACAGCTCAAACAGTTTAGTTTATTTCTTTCTCATGTAATAGTCCAGAGCTAAGTGGGAGAGCCACAGAGAAAAAGCAGCTGTATTCCATGAGGTTATCCAAGGACCCAGGTTCCTTTTATCTTTTTGCTTTGTCATCTCCTGGGGAGTTATTGCCCATGTGGTGGAAACACCACACCCCTTCTCCAATGCAGGGGAAGGGTGAGAAGAAGAAGACAAGGGTAAGCATCTTCTCTTCTGAGGATATGACTTGCAAGTTACACAATTCCCTCTGCACACATTAGCTTGACTCACATACCATAGTCACATCTTACTGCAAAGGAGACATGTACCCAATTAAAAGTTGAAGGGTTCAATTGATGAAGATCAGTGAGAGAGTGGATATTTGGATAGAGTGATCAGTCTTTCTACCATGGGTCCAAGAAATGTATTTTTTCCTCTTTTAACTCTACTGTAATGAAAACAATAGCACAAGCGTGTTGATAGGTGGCAAAGGATATTTGCCTTAAGGGGCAATAGGGCTCATGCCTGCGGTGGTGACTGCGGTGAACTGCACAGCACCTGCCCGACTATTAGCCTAGTGTGGCATGTTGTGTCTTTTTCATCACACTGTGGATAACACAGAAAATTGGAGAAAAATTCTTTCAGTATTGAGAAACAATTATTCAGTTTAGCAAAAGGCCATTTATGTCATTAATTAATGAATAAAGTTCTGACATGTCTTCATTGTTTCCATTTTTACTTACATTTTATTGAAAATGGAAACATCAACCAACATTGATGTCACAAATATACTCAGAGAGCTTGTTGTCTGCCAGGTCCCAGGACAGCCATTAGCTGGAGGTGGCTGTTGGCCCCACATGGCATCTGCTTTTCTTCTCTTCATCAGTCAGGGCAACTGAAGGAGAAGCAATGCTTGCCCTTTCTCTAGAGGTAATGGATACTCATGAGATGTATCTACTTTAACCTGATATATCTCTTCCTGTGTATATACCATATTCATTTATTCATTCAATATCTACTGAGTTAACAACTGCTTTTTGCCAGGCATGGCTCCAGACACTGAGGTCTCAGTAGAGAACAAGACAGTCATGATACTACCCACAGGACCTTTCATTTTAGGGGTGAGGCTTTAAGTAAGCCATTATTCACCTTGGTCAAGATAGAGAATAATAGCTGGCACTATTGAGCACTTACTGTGTGCTAGCCACTATCGAAAACACTTTACACACTGAATCCTCATAATAACCCTATGTGGTAAGTTCTCTTATTGCCTCCATTTTGCAGGTAAGAAAACTGAGGCCCACAAGAAGTGTTGCTGATTTAGCAAATAAAAATACAGATGCGGCTCTGCGTGGTGGCTCATGCCTGTAATCCCAACACTTTGCGAGGCATAAGTGGGAGGATTGTTTGATACCAGGAGTCGGAGACAAGCCCTGGCAACATAGTGAGACCCTGTCTCTACAAAAACAAACAAACAAACAAACAAAAAATTAGCTGAGTGTGGTGGTGTGGCCTGTAGTCCCAGGTACTTGGAAGGCTGAGGCAGGAGGATTGCTTGAGCCCAAGAGTTTGAGGTTACAGTGAGCTATGATCGTACCACTGCATTCCAGCCTAGGCAACCGAGAAAGACCCCGTCTCTAAAACAAAAACAAAAAACAGATGTCCGATTTCATTTGAATTTCAGATAAACAATGAGTGATTTTTTTTTTTTTTTGAGACGGAGTCTCGCTCTGTTGCCCAGGCTGGAGTGCAGTTGTGCCACCTTAGCTCACCACAACCTCCATCTCCCAGGTTCAAGTGATTCTCCTGCCTCAGCCTCCTGAGTAGCTGGGACTACAGGTGCATGCCACCATGCCTGGCTAAATTTTGTATTTTTAGTAGAGATGGGGTTTCACCATGTTGGCCAGGATGGTCTTGATCTCTTGACCTCGTGATCCACCCGCCTTGGCCTCCCAAAGTGCTGGGATTACAGGCATGAGCCACCGCGCCTGGCCCCTCACTTTTACATGTTGGTGGCTAATGAGGAATTTGGAGCTGGCCCAACCAGACTGCTGGCCACCAGTTGTGGTCTCTGCAGGGAATGAGGTGGCCGGGCTGGGCCGCTGGCCATGGTGCTGACCATGTGCTCCTGCTCTTTCTGTTCTCACCGACTCTCCCAACACCCCCAATACAGGCAGCCGTGGGAAACCACCTGGAGCAGCGTCTGCACCAGCCCCAGAAGCTGCTGGAGGACCTGAGGAAGACAGATGCCCAGCAGTTCCGCACTGCTATGAAATGCCTCTTAGAAGACAAGAAGGACCGCTTGGTGAGGCGCCCTTGGCATCCCGGGGATAGAGGAAGTCCAGCACCACGTGGTGTTGTTGAATTGAATAAAATGGAGCCTGACTTAGGCCTTGGCCCTTCATTGTCTTTTCCTCTCTCCTTCTGCCTCCTCCAACCCCCTGGGAGCTTTAGGATCTAAGTTTTCTCACTTACTTTCTCCAAAGTTAAAATGAAGAGCCTTATAATTTTCTATTTTATTTTTGTTTTAGACAGAGTCTTACTCTGTCACTCAGGCTGGAGTGCAGGGGCACAATCTCAGCTCACTGCAACTTCTGCCCCCTGGGTATAAGTGATTCTTGTGCTTCAACCTCCCAAGTAGCTGGGATTACAAGTGTGTGCCACCATGCCTGGCTAATTTTTGTATTTTTAGTAGAGATGAGATTTTGCCAGGCTGGTCTCGAACTCCTGGCCTCAAGTCATTTGCCTGCCTTGGCCTTCCAAAGTGCTGGGATTACAGGTGTGAGCCACCATGCCTGGCCTAATTCATATTTTTGTGAGTACTAAGAAATGAGGGGTTCTAATTGAGGATCTGAGGATCTCCTGATTGTTTGGGTGAATAAACATCCACTAATAAAAATTACTATGCACCAGTGGACACAGAGATCCTGTCCTCAAGGAGCTCACAGTCTGGATGGGAGACAAAAAACAGAAGCAGTTAATTTCCACAAAATGAGGTTAGTGATCCAAGAATATCACAAAGCAAGGCCTCTGAGACTGTAAAAACTGGGACTTAAAAAAGGTAAGTCATTTGCTCAGGACATACAGATAATGGAGGCCCTGGGATTTGAACCTGGGAATGCCTGACCCTAGTACCCATGGGGTTTAACCTGTAGGACTGTCATGAGAATTAATCAGATGATGCATGTTTGCTCCAAGTTTGGCACAGTAGAGTCAATGCTCAGTAAAATGGAAGCTTTTTTTTTTTTCCTTAGAGACAGGGGCTCACTCTGTCATCCAGGCAGGAGTGCAGTGGTGTAGTTATAGCTCACTGCAGCCTTGATATCCTAAGCCCAAGTGATCCTCCCACCTCAGCCTCTCAAGCAGCTAGGACTACAGGTGTGCACCAGCACACCCAGCTAATTTTTAAACATTTATTTTGTAGGGATGGGATCTCCCTATGTTGTCCAGGCTGGACTCAAACTCCTGGGCTCAAGCGATCCACCTGCCTCGGCCTCCCGATGTGCTGGGGTTATAGATGTGAGCCTCTGCACCAGGCCAATCAGTCCTTTCCAAAAGCTCCCCAGATGGGCTGGGCATGGTGGCTCATACCTGTAACCCTAACACTTTGGGTGGTTGTAGGCAGATTGCTTGAGCCCAGTAGTTTGAGACCAGCCTGGGCAACATGGCAAAACTCCATCTCTACAAAAAATAGCTGAGTGTAGTGGTGTGTGCCTGTGGTCCCAGCTAGTTGGGAGGCTGAGGTAGGAGCATTGCTCAAGCCCAGGAGGTTGAGGCTGCAGTGAGCTATAATCACACCACTGCACTGCAGCCTGGGTGACAGAGCAAGACCCTGTCTCAACAATAAAATAAAACTTTAAAAAAGCTCCCCAGGTGTTTCTGATGTGCACCCAGAGGTGAGAACCACGGGCTTGGAGGAAAGACACATGAGTCCCTTTAATGCATTATAGAGTTTGGTTCAAGATGACCTGGGGGCACATAAGGGAGGGAAATCTGATTTGAAGTAGGAAGTTGGAGGGATCAGAGACTTCACCAAGGAGACAGCAATGGAGCCCAGCCTTAAAGGATGAGCTAGATTTCACCAGAAAAAGGAGAGATGAAGAATTCCAGGTACACCAAGGGCCTGAGGTATGCTGGTCAGGTGTATCTGGAGAGTGGGAAGGTTCCAGAGTGAGTGGAGCAGATAAAGGCCTTGACTTTGTTCTGCAGGGAATGGAAAGCTCTAGAAGTTTCAACATAGCAGCATGGTGTTAAACAGTGATCCTGGCTTTCCCCACTGTTGCAATGTGTGGTCCCTCCCAGGGCTTCCAAATTGAAAGGCAGCTCTCAAGCTGACCCTGGCTTTTCTTATTGCTTTAGGACCTGAAAGACATCATCATCGACTTAGGAGAGATTCGAGAACGAGCCTTGCAGAGCCCTGGCGTGAACCGCAGCCTGTTTCTCATCACACTAGAGAGGTGTTTCCAGGTGCTGAACTCCCTGGAGTGTGTGGAGATCCTGGGCAAGGTGCTGAGGGGGTCCTCAGGCAGCTTTCTCCAGCCAGACATCACAGAGCGGCTCCCTCGGGACCTGCGCGAGGATGCCTTTAAGAATCTGTGAGTGGTTTCTCCCACATTTTTTCTTTTTTTTTTTGAGATGGAGTTTCACTCTGTCACCCAGGCTGGAGTGCAGTAGCGCAATCTCGGCTCACTGCAACCTCTGCCTCCCAGGTTCAAGTGATTCTCCTGCCTCAATTCCAAGTAACTGGGACTACAGGGGCGCCTACCACACCCAACTAATTTTTGTATTTTTGTAAAGACGGAATTTCATCATGTTGGCCAGACTGGTCTGGAACTCCTGACCTCAAGTGATTCACCTGCCTTGGCCTCCCAAAGCGCTGGGATTACAGGCGTGAGCCACCACACCAGCCACTCCCACCTTCTTAACTCATCATACTATCCTTCAGGGGCTGTAGTGAGAATTCAAAGAGGTATCACCTGGCAGCAGGGAGAAGGCAGGTGGGGACAGGTTTATATGCATGTTTTGGAGCAAAAGCTTAAAATCTGTAGAGTCAGGCTGGGTGTGGTAGCTCACGCCTGTGATCCCAGCACTTTGGGAAGCAGAGGTGGGTGGATCATGAGGTCAGCAGTTCGAGACCAGCCTGGCCAACATAGCGAAACCACGTCTCTACTAAAAATACAAAAATTAACCAGGTATGGTGGCAGGTGCCTGTAATCTCAGCTACTTGGGAGGCTGAGGCAGGAGAATCACTTGAACCTGGGAGGTGGAGGTTGCAGTGAGCCAGAATTGCGCCACTGCATTCCAGCCTGGGCGACAGAGTGAGACTCCGTATCAAAACAAAAACAAAAGCAAAACAAAACAAAAAACCACATAAACAAATACAGTGGGAAAAAAGTGTCACTAAATCCTAGCTAGATATGTTGCTTGCTTAAGTGTGTTAGTCAGATTGGGCTGCTATAACAAAAATACCACAGACTATGTGGCTAATAAACAACAAGTGTTTATTTCTCATGGTTCTGGAGACTGGGAAGTCCAAGATCAAGGTACTGGCAGACTTGGTGTCTGGTGAGGGCTCACTTTCTGGTTTATTGGCACCTTCTCGCTGTGTCCCCTTGTGGTGGAAGGGGTGAGCAAGCCCTCTGGGATCTCTTTTATAAGAGCACTAATCCCATTCATGAGGTATCCAGCCTCATGAACTAATCACCTCCTCAAAACTCCACCTCTTAATACTGTCATGTTGGGAGTTAGGATTTCAACCCATGAAATTTGGGGAAACGCAAACTTTCAGTCCACAGCACCAAGGCTGTGAACCTGGGTCTTGTTCTATTGATTTAAAAACAATCTGAGTGTGTTTTAAAGACTCATTGGCACTAAACTGAGACCTTCTTGAGGGACAGCAGGAGGAGTGACAGAGCATTGAAAAAGGAGGACTTTTCTCCTTTTGAGATGCCATGCCAGCGTATGTTGGTTACAGCCAGCCCTGCATGAAATTGCGCTTTGATGTAAACCAAATTTGAGGATTGGGTCTAGGACTTGAAGGGCCATAGGCATTGCAAACACCGCCAACTTCCTCCTTTTACTAATCATAGCACTTTATGGCCATAAAACACTTTCTTTTTTTTTTTTTTTTTTTGAGACGGGGTCTTGCTCTGTCGCCCAGGCTGGAGTGCAGTGGCACGATCTTGGCTCACTGCAAGCTCTGCCTCCCGGATTCAAGCGATTCTCCTGCCTCAGCTTCCCGAGTAGCTGGGACTACAGGCACCCGCCACCACGCCCAGCTAATTTTTTGTATTTTTAGTGGAGACGGGGCTTCACTGTGTTAGCCAGGATGGTCTGGATCTCCTGACCTCGTGATCTGCCCAGCTCGGCCTCCCAAAGTGCTGGGATTACAGGCGTGAGCCACCGCGCCCGGCCATACAACACTCTTTCTAAATCTAAAAATGATTTAGAAGAAGGAAAAGCCCAATATGATGATAACAATGTGGGAGATTCCTTTTATCTTTTGCAGCCAAAGGGCAGTAGGTGAAACAGACAGTATACTGACCTCATCTTTTCTCTAGGGGTGTCAGTTTTTTCCACTAAGATGTATATACATGAAACCCTTTTGCTCTGCAGGCTATTACACTATTCCTTTTAAATTCAGTGTCTCCTCCCTCTGCCATTCATTCAGGTTGTGGAAGAGAACATCATTGGAGTGAGAGTTTATTGGTTACTGCTTACCTGAGTGAGCAGTAAACCCAAGTGGCAGAAAAACCCATTCAAACTGGCTTGAAGCAAAAGGGAATTAGTGGAACATGTAATTGAATAGTTTTAGGTGTAGGGCTGACTTCAGACACAGCTGGATCCAGAGACTCAAATGATGCCATCGGGAACATCTTTGGCTCTTTATCTTATATGCTGAAAACCACTGAATTGTGTACTTTATTTATTTATTTTATTTATTTTATTTTTTGAGACGGAGTTTCCCTCTTGTTGCCCAGGCTGGAGTGCAATGGTGCCATCTCGACTCACTGCAACCTCCACCTCCCAGGTTCAAGTGATTCTCCTGTCTCAGCCTCTGAAGTAGCTGGGATTACAGGTGTATGCCACCACGCCTGGCTAATTTTTGTACTTTTAGTAGAGACAGAGTTTCATCATATTGGTCAGGCTGGTCTCGAACTCCTGACCTCAGGTGATCTGCCCATCTTGGCCTCCCAAATTGCTGAGATTACAGGCGTAAGCCACAGTGCCTGGCTGAATTGTGTACTTTAAATGGGTGAATTGTAAGGTGTGTGAATTATATCTCAACAGAGTTGTCCCCCACCTCCCCAAAAAAGGACCAAGAGGTGAGGAAGTGGAGACAATATGTATGGATTATTCTTTGGAAGGTGTTTAGCTGTGAAGGGGAAGAGGAAAATGGGAAAAATAGCTACATATAGCTAAGGAGTGTGTGTGTGGGCATATTTTTTATTATTAAGTTCTGGGGTACACGTGCAGGATGTGCAGGTTTGTTACATAGATAAATGTGTGCCATGGTGGTTTGCTGTACCTATCAACCCATCACCTATGTATTAAGCCCAGCATGCATTAGCTATTTTTCCTAATGCTCTCCCTTCCCCCATCCCACCCCCCAACAGGCCCCAGTGTTGTTCCCCTCCCTGTGTCCATGTGATCTCATTGTTCAGCTTCCACTTGTAAGTGAGAACATGGAGAGTTTCATTTTCTGTTCCTGCATTAGTTTGCTAAGGATAATGGCTTCCAGGTCCATTCATGTCCCTGCAAAAGACATGATCTTGTTCATTTTTATGGCTGCATAGTATTCCATGGTAATATGTACCACATTTTCTTTATCCAGTCTATTATTGATGGGCATTTGGGTTGACTACATGTCTTTGCTATTGTGAATAGTGCTGCAATGAACATATGTGCATTTATCTTTGTGACAGAATGATTTATATATTTTTTTGGTATATACCCAGTAATGGGATTGCTGGGTCAAATGGTATTTCTGGTTCTAGATCTTTGAGGAATCGCTACACTGTCTTCCACAATGGTTGAACTAATTTACATTCAGGAGAGGGAAGGTTTTTTTTTAATGCTTTTAAGTTATAGGGTACATGTGCACAACATGCAGGTTTGATATACAGGTATACATGTGCCATGTTGGTTTACCGCACCTATCAACTCATCATTTACATTAGGTATGTCTCCTAATGCTATCCCTCCCCCAGCCCTCCACCCCTTGACAGGCCCCAGTGTGTGATGTTCCCCTCCCTGTGTCCAAGTGATCTCATTGTTCAATTCCCACCTATGATTGAGAACATGCGGTATTTGGTTTTCTGTCCTTGTGATAGCTTGCTGAGAATGATGGTTTCCAGCTTCATCCATGTCCCTGCAAAGGACATGAACTCATCCTTTTTTATGGCTGCATAGTATTCCATGGTATATATGTGCCACATTTTCTAAATCCAATCTGTCACTGATGGACATTTGGGTTGGTTCCAAGTCTTTGCTATTGTGAATGGTGCAGCAATAAACATACATGTGCATGTGTCTTTACAGTAGCATGATTTATAATCCTTTGGGTATATACCCAGTAATGGGATTGCTGAGTCAAATGGTATTTCTGGTTCTAGATCCTTGAGGAATCGCCACACTGTCTTCCACAATGGTTGAATCAATTTACACTCCCACCACCAGTGTAAAAGCCTTCCTATTTCTCCACATACGGGAGAGGGAAGGGTTTTAACACAAGACAGCTTTGGGTCACATTTGCTGTTGTGACTCCCTCTTTAAAGCAGCCCCCACCTGTTTGTTATTAATTGATGCCCATGTTTGTGTCATTTAGATCTGCAGTGTTCAAAGATCTCTACGACAAAACCTCGGCTCATTCCCAGAGAGCTCTCTATTCCTGGATGAGTGGGATATTGCAGACATCCTCCAATGCCACTGGTGAGCCTGTACTTGGAGGTGGGATCACTTTTTGGGGGAAGAATATCTTCAAAAGAGGTGCTTCATCTCTGAAAACATGGATTTGATGTTGTTCTCTTCTGATTTTTACTACCTCCCACCACTTTGAAAAACAGTTTGATACGGCATATGGAGTAAAACACATACCCCATTTTGTTAATGCAATTCACACATGTGGAAGTCTCTGATATAATGATGTGTCTATATTTCTGTATTTCACAATCCATGTTGTGTCGTAACTTTTTAGTGGAATATAAATAATGATGGTAACTTAGATTCAATGTGAACCTTGAGTAGGGTTACAAGTTCAAAATCTGTATTAAAAAATCTATATTAAAATGAGAGAAGAGGCTGGGCACGGTGGCTCACACCTGTAATCCCAGCACTTGGGAGGCCGAGGCAGGAGGATTGCCTGAGGTCAGGACTTTGAGGCCAGCCTGACCAACATGGTGAAACCCTATCTCTACTAAAAACACAAAAATTAGCTGGGCATGGTGGCGGGAACCTGTAATCCCAGCTACTCAGGAGGCTGAGGCCATTGCACTCCAGCCTGGGCAACAGAGCAAGATTCTGTCTCAAAAAAAAAAAAAAAAAAAGAGAGAGAGAGAAGATAATTTTGTTAGGAAATCTAGGCAATAAAGCACAGAAATTTAACTCTGAGCATCCTGGCAACCAAAGCAGGTAGGTCAGGATTTATTTATTTGATGGATGTTGATTAAAGCCTCCTTGTGTCCTAGAGTAGTTAAATTCATAGAGACAGAAATTAGAACGGTGGCAGAGTTTCAATTTTGCAAGGTGCAAAATATTCTGGATATGGTTGGTGGTGATGGTTGCACAATAATATGAATGTCAATGTACTTACTACCGCTCAACTATACACTTAAAAATGGGGCCTGGTGGGCTGGGTGAGGTGGTTCATGCCTGTAATCCCGGCACTTTGCAAGGCTGAGGCAGGCGGATCAACTGAGATCAGGAGTTCGAGACCAGCCTGGCCAACATGGTGAAACCCCCTCTCTATGATAAATACAAAAAATTAGCCCAGCGTGGTGGTATGTGTCTGTAATCCCAGCTATTTGGGAGGCTGAGGCAGGAGAATCACTTGAACCCAGGAGGCAGAGGTTGCAGTGAGCTGAGATCATGCAATTGCACTGCATCTTGGGTGACAGAGTGAGACTCTGTCTCAAAAAAAAAAAAAAAAAGAAAAGAAAAGAAAAGAAAACTGGGGCCAAGTGCGGTGACTCACGCCTGTGATCCCAACACTTTGGGAGGCTGAGACGGGCGGATCACTTGAGGTTAGGAGTTTGAGACCAGCGTGGCCAACATGGTGAAACTCTGTCTTTACCCCCCTCAAAAAAAAAAAAAAAAACCAGGCATGGTGGCACACGCCTGTGGCCCCAGCTACTTAGGAGGCTGAGGCGGGAGAATCGCTTGAACCCGGGAGGCAGAAGTTGCAGTGAGCTGGGATTGTACCACTGCACTCCAGCCTGTGTGATGGAGTGAGACCCTGTCTCAAAAAAAAAAAAAAAAAAAAAAAAAAACCAAAACCAAAACCAAAACCAAAACAGAGATAGAAAAGAATGGCTATATAGATTAGCAGTACAAACAATTTCTCAGATAGCTTCAATTTGTTAACCTTTAATGTCACTAATGTAAACAGAATAAACTTTTTAAAAGCCCATTATGTATCAATAGCTGAAGATAGAGAAGGAAACAAAACAAAGTCTCTGTTCTTATGACCCTATTGTTTGATTGTGGGAGGGTTGGTGGAGAAAAATGTTTAAACATGTAAGTAATTAAAGAGAGAGAGAGAGAGAGAGAGAGAACTTAGAAATTCAGATACTGGTAGCTGCTATGAAGAAAATAAAATAGTTTGTTGAGATGGAGTCTTACTCTGTCACCCAGGCTGGAGTGCAGTGGCACAATTTTGGCTCACTGCAACCTCTGCCTCCTGGGTTCAAGTGATTCCCTTGTCTCAGCTCCCAAATGGCTGAGATTATAGGTGCCTGCCACCATGCCCAGCTAATTTTTGTATTTTTAGTAGAGACGTGATTCCTCCATGTTGGCTAGGCTGGTCTCGAACTCCTGACCTCAAGTGATCCACCTGGCTTGGCCTCCCAAAGTGCTGGGATTACAGGCATGAGCCACTGCACCCAGCCGGAAAGGATTATTATAGGTACTTTAGACTAGAAGAGTGCTTGGCAAATGTTCTCTGTAAAGGACCAGGTAAATATTTTAGGCTTTGTAAGCCTACCATCTCTGCCTCAACTATTCAGCTCTGACATTGCATCTTGAAAACAGCTGTAGTCAATAGATGAATGAGCATGCCTGTGTCCCAGTAAAGCTTTTTTTATGGATGCTGAAATTTCAAATTTGTATAATTTTCATGTGTTACCAAATAGGATTTTTCTTTTGATTTTCCTTTCAGCCATTTAAAAAATGTAAAAACGAGGCAGGGGGCAGTGGCTCATGCTTGTAATCCCAGCACTTTGGGAGGCCCAGGCAGGAGGATTGCTTGAAGCCAAAAGTTCAAGACCAGCCTAGGCAACATAGCAAGACCCCATCTTTTAAAAAATTTTTAAAAAATTAGCCGGTGTGCTGGTACATGCCTGTAGTCCCAGCTACTCTGGAGGCTGAGGTGGGGAGGATCCCTTGAACCCAGGAGTTTGAGGCTGCAGTGAGCCATGATGGCGCAACTGGACTCCAGCCTGGTAGACAGAGCGAGACCTTGTTTCTAAAAAAACTCCAAAATAATAAATGTAAAAACCATTTTTGGCTCACAGGCTGTATAAAAACAGGTGGTGGACTGAGTTTGCCCCATGGACCAGTTTGCCAACTCTTGGACTAAGGAATCAGGGAAGACCTCTCAAATGGGTGACATTTGAATCAAGACCAAAATGAGGAGATGGAACCAGTCGTGTAAGGCTCTGGAGAGAGGGCATCCCAGAGAGAGATCCCAGGAAACACAAAGGCCCTGAGATGGGAATGAGCTCTGTGCGGGGAAAACATAAGGAGAGCAGATGGGGCTGGAGGATGGGGAATGCCAATCAATCCTTTTCCTGGAATTCAGCTCTGAGATTTGTGCATAATGAACATTAAACAAGATCGTAATCAAAGTCTCAAATGCATAGTAGAATTCCCTCTGCCTGGTGCATAATTATGGCCTCCAGGAATCAGAGTCTCACACTGGGTAACCATGAGAAAGCCACTCAACCTTCAGACTTCTCTGTCTTTATTGCCAGAGTTTAATTAGGCACAGACTTTCCTTCTAAAATTCCTATATGGTTTGCTTCATTATTAACCTACAGTCAGTTAAAATTAATTCTGTTAGGACTTATTTATTTATTTATTTTTTCATGAAGTCCCTTGAGGGAACTGGAGATATGGTGGCTGTTAAAAATATCCCAACCTTGCTGGCCAGGCATGGTTGCTTACACCTGTAATCCTAGCATTTTGGAAGGCTGAGGAAGGAGGATTGCTTGAGGTCAGGAGTTTAAGGCCAGCCTGGGCAATGTACTGAGACCCCTCTCTCTGCAAAAAAATTGAAAGATTAGCCAGGTGTGGTGGTGTGTGCCTGTAGTCCTAGCTACTAGGAAGGCTGAGGCAAGAGTTTGAGGCTTCAGTGAGCTATGATCATCCCACTGCACTCCAGCCTGGATAACAGAGGAAAAAAATATTCCCAAGCTTGGGGATGATTGATCTGTGGAAATAGAGTTCATGCTTAGTAATTAGTTAAAAAATAAACAACTCAGCTTGGTTTTTTGTGAATGTGTGGTTCTAGCCTCAAAATTTTCTAGCCCTCTATATAGGCAAGGCAAATGTCCAGGGTCCCCATCTAGAGAATCATAGGAGTCTGCCTGTGTCACCCCAGCATCGTTGATTTCTGGTTTGGGGGAGGCACTCCATATGTTCTTGTGAATCAGTCCATACAAAAGTTATTTCTCCATCTCGTTTGGGCATCTATCATTGCCCATGGCTTCTGCAAATAGTCCTTGGTGTTACAGTCATTGCACACTGTAAACGCTCCCCACTTCTTTCATTTTCCCCAAATGCCTCCAATACAATGTCGATGTGTGTAAATGTCTTTTGCTAAAGAACTGGGGAGCATTGGCAGTCAATTCCAGCTCAGTGAAACTTGAAGTCTGATCCTAGACTTGAGATATATATATATATATTTATTTATTTTTATTTTTTCATTTTTAAATTTTATTTATTTATTTTTATTTTTTATTTTTGAGACAGAGTCTGGCTCTGTCACTCAGGCTGGAGTGCAGTGGCACGATCTCAGCTCACTGCAACTTCTGCCTCCCGGGTACAAGCGATTCTCCTGCCTCCACTTCCTGAGTAGCTGGGACTACAGGCGTGTGCCACCATGCCTGGCTAATTTTTGTATTTTTAGTGGAGATGGGGTTTCACCATGTTGGCCAGTACGGTCTCAATCTCCTGACCTCGTGATCCACCTGCCTTGGCCTCCCAAAGTGCTGGGATTACAGGTGTGAGTCACTGCACCCAGCCAACTTGACGGTTTTTAAAGTTCCACTGACATCTCAGTGATGGGGAATTTCAAAAGCTAGAACAGGGTGTCAGAGAGAGTCCTCTGGGAATTCAGTGGAGGGAGAAAATATTTCTCGTGAAGGAGATAAGAGAAGACTTTAAGGGAGAGGAAAATTTGAGATTGATCTTAAAGTAGGATTTAGATGCAGAAGGGTTAAGGAAAAGCATTGTAGGTGGTGAAAAGGGCCAAGGCCAGCCAAGGTTTGGAGAATGTTTTGGGGAGTTACAAGTAGTTTGGTTTGGTTCAAGTATAGTAACATGGTGATAATCAGTGAGGATGATGATTATTAGTGGTAGTGATGCAAGAGAGTCAAACATATTTCATGTTGCCAGAGTATTATTATTATTATTAGACAGAGTCTCACTCTGTCGCCCAGGCTGGAATGCAGGGACGTGATCTCGGCTCACTGCAACCTCTACCTCTCAGGTTCAAGAGATTCTCCCGTCTCAGCCTCCCAATTAGCTGAGATTACAGGCGCTAGTACACCCGGCTAATTTTTTTATATTTTTAGTACAGCCGGGATTTCGTGATTATAGGCGTTAGCCACTGCGCCTGGCCTCATGTTTCCAGGTTATTTAGTAACCAATTGAACAAAAAAATAAAACTACATTTTGTGGGTTTTAAGTATTAAAAATAATCTGCATTTCTTATTTATTTATTTTTAATAATAATTATTTTTTAAAAGAGATAGGGTCTCACTCTGTTGCCCAGGCTGGAGTGCAGTACAGTGAGTGCACAGCTCACTGTAGCCTCAAATTCCTGGTTTCAAGTGATCCTGCCTCCTTAGTTTCCTGAGTAGCTGGGACTGCAGGTGCATGTCACTGCCACTGGCTTTTTTTTTTTTTTTTTTGTAGAGATGAGGGTCTTGCTATGTTGCTCAGGCTGGTCTCAAACTCCTGGCCTCAAGCAGTCCTCCTGCCTCAGCCTCCCAAAGTGCTGAGATTACAGGTGCCTGGCCAGAAAGAATAATCTGCATTTCTAACAAGTGGCCAGGTGCCACTGATGTTGGAAGTCCAGAGACCACACTCTTGAGTAACAACGTTTGAGGTGGTGTGAATCTGTGGTCACATCCTACGTGTGATCTCACAGGTAGGCCCTACATATATGGTTGTTGAATGAGTTAACAACAAATTAATGTAGCTGGATGCGGTGGTTCACGCCTGTAATCCCAGCACTTGGGGAGGTGGAGGCGGGCAGATCACCTGAGGTCAGGAGTTGGAGACCAGCTGGCCGACATGGTGAAACCCTGTCTCTACTAAAAATACAAAAATTAGCCGGGCATGGTGGCGGGCGCCTGTAATCCCAGCTACTTGGGAGACTAAGGTAGGAGAATCGCTTGAACTGGGAGGTGGAGGTTGCAATGAGCTGAGATCACACCACTGCACTCCAACCTGGGCAACAGAGTGACATTCCATCTCAAAAAACTGTGAAAAACAAAATAAACAAAGAATTAATGAATGCAAGGAGGTCCTGACAGCAAAGATGCTGTTGACTATCACATACCAGTGTAAAGGCTTTTATTTATTTATTTACTCATTTATTCATTTCTTTATTTTTTGCAGATGACTCTGTTTCATGGGTCACTGCGGAAAACTTATGGATTTTGGGCAGATACATGGTTCACCTATCGTTTGAAGAAATTATGAGAATTAGTCCTATAGAAGTGAGTTGGAAAAGTACATTTGTACGTCACCATTACTAATACACTTGGGGTAAGGTGTATTCTCAAACTCTAATGTTTATCCAGCCAGCCAAGGTGCCTTGGAAACTGTATACCCTCCTCATCCCAATAGAGCTTGGGCCTCTAAAGAAAACTACTGGAAGAAAGTTTCAAGTGGACAGTCATGGGATTGTGTTTTAGTGTGGAAGGGCTAAGAAAAGAAAAAGAATTGTGGACAATTAAGATCACATCTCTGATGTGAGCAAACACGATTTAAAGGGATTGTTGGCTATGAACCAAAAATCACTTAAGGGTATTTTTGTACTGGAGAAGGCCAAGGACAAAAGATACAAAGTTTCCTGTCCTTGGAAGCATGAACTCAAAGAAAAAACAACATGGATTGATATTTACTTCTATTTATAGCTACTTCTGTTAATAGCTACTTGAGCATGAGCAATGGTTAGATTTTAATTCTAGAGTTTACAGTGGAGAAATGTACACATTCTAGGGTTACTTAACTCACTAGTTAACCTGTCCCTCTCCTTTTGATGTTGACCCAATGACACTAAAATCCCTTGGGCATCATGATTCTTGAACGCAGTCTCCAAAGAATGCTGCCAACACAAAAGGATTCATGAAGAGACTGTGGGCCTTGCTTCCAATTTTTCTTCTTCTTCTTTTTTTTTTAAATCATATGTGCCCTGACACTTCTGGCCGGTGAGAGAAGTGTTTGCATCAAATGACTGACCTGTTCAAGGACCCATTGACCCAGCAATGTCTGGTTATTATGAAACCAGAGGCAGAACGAGGTTTCTCTCTTTTACCTGCGGTGCTGGGAGTATTTCAAGTGTCTTCCGATTTTTATAACCCGCAGTCCTAGAATTAACCCCCCACCCTACTGCCGTTTACTCTCTCAATGTGGAGTTGCTTTGAGTAGGTAACAGCTTAAATTCTTAGAAAGCTGGGCCCCCTGGAGGAAATTTCTAAGATCAAGCAATCATTTGCAACTTTTTATTCTCTAAAAATGTAGAGAAGGGAGAAGTCAAGAGTAACACTGCTAAAAGGGAATTTTATATTATTTTATTTTATTTTTACTTATTTATTTAGGAGATGGAGTCTCGTTCTGTCATCCAGGCTAAAGTGGAGTAGTGCAATCTTGGCTTACTGTAACCTCCTTCTCCCAGATTCAATTGATTCTCCTGCCTCAGCCTCTTGAGTAGCTGGGATTACAGGCACGTGCCACCATGCCCGGCTAATTTTTGTATTTTTAGTAGAGATGAGGTTTCACCATGTTGGCCAGGCTGGTCTTGAACTCTTCACCTCAGGTGATCTGCCTTGCCTCAGCCTCCCAAAGTGCTGTTATTACAGGTGTGAGCCACCGCACCCAGCCTAAAAAAGGAATTTTATATAGACAAAGAGTACAATCCATAAAGGAGAGACAACTTTATGAGCCCCTTTGAGCGCAGCATAATAGTGCCTCAAAATATAGAATGTGCCGGGTGCTGTGGCCCGTGCCTGTAATCCCAGCACTTTGGGAGGTCAGGGCAGGAGGATCACTTGGGCCCAGAAGTGCAAGACCAGCCTGGGCAACATAGTGAAACCTCATCTCTACAAAAAAATTAAAAAATTAGCCAGGTGTAGTGGTGTGTGCTTGTAGTCTCAGCCACTTGGGAGGCCGAGGTGGAAGGATCACTTGAGCCCAGGAGGTCGAGGCTGCAATAAGCCATGATCACACCACTGCACCCAAGCCTGGGTAAGAGAGTGAGACTGTGTCTTGGCCAGGCACGGTGGCTCACGCCTGTAATCCCAGGACTTTGGGAGGCTGAGGTAGGTGGATCTTGTGAGGTCAGGTGTTTGAGACCAGCCTGGCCAACATGGAGAAACCCCGTCTCTACTAAAAATACAAAAATTAGCTGGGCATGGTGGTACATGACTGTAATCCCAGCTACTCGGGAGGCTGAGGCAGGAGTATCACTTGAACCTGGGAGGCTGAGGTTGCAGTGAGCTGAGATTGTGTCACTGCACTCCAGCCTGGGTGACAGAGTGAGACTCCCATCTCAAAAAAATAAAAATAAAAATAAAAATAAAAATGAAAATGAAAATAAAAACAGTGAGTCCGTGTCCCCCCAAAATTATATATAAAATGTATAATCTGCCAGAAATACAAGGAAGAATAGATAGATATGAGTCCTGTAGTAGAAGATTGCACATGGCACCCTTGGACATGTGGGCCAAAAAGGAACAAGGATGTTGGCAATCTGAATAGTATATTTAATAAGCTGAATATATATGCACCAAACTTTGTGTCTTACAAAGTGAACACACACTCTTTTCCATCGCCCAAGGGCCATTTATAAACTCATTCATCTATTTAAAAACTTCTGATTCTTCAAAGCAGAAAGTTTGTGGACCACATTCTCTGACCTCAATGTAACAAATCTAGAAATAAATGTACAAAGATTAGCTTTTAAAAAGCCCAGTTTCTCAGATATTAAAAAATAGTACTTTCCTAAAGAATAGTTAGGTTCAGGAGGAAACCAAAGTAGCTGTTATAGACCACTAAGAAATCAATGACAATGAGGCCAGGCATGGTGGCTCACACCTGTAATCCCAGCACTTTGGGAGGCCGAGGTGGGTGGATCACTTGGTCAGGAGTTTGAGACCAGCCTGGCCAACATGGTGAATCCCCATCTCTACTAAAAATACAAATATTAGCCAAATGTGGTGGTGGGCACCTGTGATTCCAGCTACTCTGGAGGCTGAGGCAGGAGAATTGCTTGAACTCAGGAGGTGGAGGTTGCAGTGAGCTGAGATCATGCCACTTCACTCCAGCCTGGGCGACAGAGTGAGACTCCATCTCAAAAAAAAAAAAAAAAAGAAAAGAAAAGAAAAGAAAAGACATCAATGACAATGAGAACCAGCAGGAGGTATATCCAAGTGTCCATGATGGGGCACAGTGCAGACCACCAGGGTGGGGCCACACTGGGCCACTTCTACCCTCCTCACTGATATTCTCGTCCTTGTCTACCAACCAGATTGGGCTGTTTATCAGCTACGACAATGCCACCAAGCAGCTGGACACGGTCTATGACATCACACCTGAGCTGGCCCAGGCGTTTCTGGAGAGGATCAGCTCCTCCAACTTTAACATGAGGAATACCTCCACCATCCACAGGCAAGGCCTTGGGCTCTGGGCCCTGGAGCTCTTTCCCAAGGTGTGATCTAAGCATCAGTATTCTCTGAGCAGCAGAACACCCAGGGAGGGAAGGGAGGTGGTTGGTCCATCTCTTTCAATAGTCCCATGTTTCTCTGTGCATGTAAGGAGAGGTCTCTGCAACCTTTTTATGAAGAGGTTATGAAGCAGGGTGAAAGGGTAAATGCTTTCTGAGCATCTCCTGTGTGCCAGGCATTTAATGCAACCTTATCAAGTGCTAATTCTGGCTCTCAGCACAGAAATGAAACATTTTAAATACTCAGGACTGGGTCCTGTTCCAAAGCCAATGTGTGATTTCCATTGAAGTTGCATCAAGTGTTGGAAATGCCTCATGGGTCCCCACATTTGAGAACCGCTTGTTATCAGACCCTTAGCTGGGGAGCCCCTGGATGAGATCAGCTGTAGAATTTAGTGACCGTAATGTGATCCTCCCTAAAACCATTCCCAGCAGGGGAGGAGGGACAGGAACTCTACATGCCAGGTGTGTCAGGAAGGGAGTGGGCAATGGGAAGGGGGTGGTGAGTACTGTTCAATCCCCTCTCCTTTTACTTTTTTTTTTTTTTGAGACAGTCTCTCATCCTGTAACCCAGGCTGGAGTGCAGTGACGTGATTTCGGCTCACTGCAACCTCTACCTCCTGGGTTCAAGCAATCCTCATGCTTCAGCCTCCAGAGTAGCTGGGACTACAGATGTGTGCCACCATGCCCAGCTAATTTGTTTGTATTTTTAGTAGACATGGGGTTTTGCCATATTGGCCAGGCTGGTCTCGAACTGCTGATCTCTCGAACTCCTGACCTCAGGTGGCCCGCCCACCTTGTCCTCAAGCTGGGATTACAGGCATGAGCCACCACACCTGGCCCATTCAATCCTCTTTTTTTTTGAGTCTCACTTTGTTGTCCAGGCTGGAGTGTACAGTGGTGCAATATCAGCTCACTACAACCTCCACCTCCGGGTTCAAGAGATTCTCCTGCCTCAGTGTCCCAGGTAGCTGGGATTACAGGCATGTGCCACCACACTCAGCTAATTTTTGTGTTTTTAGTGGAGACTGGGTTTCGCCATGTTGGCCAGGCTGATCTCAAACTCCTGATCTCAACTGATCCACCCATCTTGGATTTCCAAAGTGCTGAGACTACAGGCATGAACCACTGTGCTGGGCCATCATTCAATCCTCTTGTGTCCATCTCTCAAGGTCTTTTTGCCACACTGCTCCCATCGCATACTACCTTAAGGTTTTTCAAATGAACCACCCTTAGGCAATGTACTCATAGGAAACAATTAGATGGCTTTCACCTATCTTTAGTAATTTCCACTTATTATCATGGATCCCATTTTTCTGTGGTTACACACACACAAACAACCTCATGATTAAGAACATGGTACCTCGAGCCAGACTTCGTGGCTTAATCCTGGCCCTGCTGCTTACAAATGGTATGATCTTTGCCATTTTTACATCACCTCTCTATGCTTCCGCTTCCCCATCTGTAAAATGGGAGATAAAAATATGTCTGCTGCATTAAGGTCTTTGTAGGGATTTGCACACTTGACACATAGTAAGTGCTCAAGAAATATTTTTTCTTTTTCTTTTTTTTTTTTGAGACAGAGTCTCACTCTGTCGCCAGGCTGGAGTGCAGTAGTGCAGTCTCAGCTCACTGCAACCTCCGCCTCCTGAGTTCAAGCAATTCTCCTGCCTCAGCCTCCCGAGTAGCTGGGACTACAGGCACCTGCCACCATGCCTAGCTAATTTTTGCATATTTAGTAGAGACAGGGTTTCACCATGTTGGCCAGGATGGTCTTGATCTCTTGATCTTGTGATCCACCCGCCTCGGCCTCCCAAAGTGCTGGGATTACAGGCGTGAGCCACCCCGCCCAGCCTATTTTTTCTTTTATAATTTTTTTAAATTGATAAATAAAAATTATATCTATGGTATGCAACATGATGTTTTGAGATATATATTCTTTGTGGAATGGCTAAATCAAGCTAATTAAGTTATCGTTACCTCACATACCTTTTTTGTGATGAGAACACTTAAAATCTACTCTTAATAATTTTCGAGTATATGATACATTGTTATTAACTGTAGTCAGCATGTACAATAGATCTCTAGAACCTCTTTTCCTATTTAACTGAAACATTGTATCCTTTATCCAAGTCTCTCCAACTCCTTTCCCACCTCCAGCCCCTGGTAACAACCATTCTAAGGCTCTGCTTTCATGAATATGACGTTTGTTTATTTGTTTGTTTTTCAGATTCATAATATAAATGAGGTCATACAGTATTTGTCTTTCTGTGTCTGGCTTATTGCACTTAGCATAAGATCCTCCAAGTTCATCCATGCTATCCCATATGATAGAATTTCCTCCTTTTTCAAAGCTGAAGCACATTCCATTGTGTATCCACCAATTAAAAAAAAAAATCCATTCATCCACTGACGTGTTGGACACTTAGGATGATTCCATGTCTTGGCTATTGTGAATTATTATTCTCAACATGGTTATTAACACTTACCCCTCACATCCCCTGAGTCTTCTTTTCTCGAAGTTAAGCAGATTCCTTTTCCTCATGAGACACTTTCTTTTCCCTGGACCTGGCAGCTCTCCTGTGGGCGTGTCTGAATATGTCAACATCATATATGTGAATCAACTGCCAAGGAGACAGCAGGCAGTGGTCAAATCTGTGTCTCTGAGCTGGGGAGTGGGGCAGGTTTTATAGGCAGAGGGTAATAAGACTTGATCTGATTGGGTCTTGCTATGAGGTGATGCTGGGAGGTGTGATCTGATTGGATCATGCCATGAGGTGATGCCAGGGCTCAATCTGATTGGATCATGGACCACGCCAAGTGGTGTCCACTTCATAATTCAGCCCCCATTCCTTGGTCCTGTCTGAGCACTTAGGTTCCACCTCTGGTTGCATGTTTGGTTCATCTGAGGATGTTCAGGTTACGTGACCTTCAAGCCGGGAGTCCGTGGCAGCTGAAAAACAACTCGCCGTTTTATTACACAAAACGGAACCGGAACGGGCTGGTTCTGCGGTTACACCTCCACCACAATCCCGCCTCTTCTCACACAGGTTGGGGCTGCTGGTTTGTTTCTACGATGACCTGGAATTGCTGGATGCCACTGTGGCCCAAGTCCTGCTTCACCAGATGATCAAATGCAGCCACCTGAGCGGCTTCCAGGCTGGCGTCCAAAAGGTACAGCTGGGGTGCAAGGCCCTGAGGCCTCTGCCTCAGTTTCGCTAGACAGAGAAATGGGGAGCTTAGCTTAGCCTTTGAGAGAAAACACACAGTAGTTGGGATTTAAGTCCGGTCACAGCAGATGGCACCTCAAATACTGAGATAAGTGTAACATCGAAGCCCAGACAGAAATTAGCAAAGGAACAGACCCTGGGGAGATCAAAATTTAATCAGAACAGCCGTCTCAGCCAGGCGTGGTGGCTCATGCCTGTAATCCCAGCACTTCGGGAGGCCAAGGTGGGAGGATCATTTGAAGCCGGGAGTTTGATACCAGCCTGGTCAACATCATGAGACCCTTGTCTGCAAAAAATACAAAAAAATGGCTGGGCACGGTGATTCACACCTGTAATCCTAGCACTTTGGGAGGCCAAGGTGGGCAGATCACCTGAGGTTAGTTTGAGACCGGCACGGCCAACATGGTGAAATCCCATCTCTACTAAAAATATAAAAATTAGCCAGGGGTGGTGGCATGCGCCTGTAATCCCAGCTACTCAGGAGGCTGAGGCAGGAGAATTGCTTGAGCCTGGGAGGCAGAGGTTGTGGCGAGCTGAGATCATGTCACTGCACTCCAGCCTGGGGGGTGACAGAGTGAGACTCTGTCTCAAAAAAAAAAAAAAAAAAAAAAAAGCCATATGCCTATACTGCCAGCTACTTGGGAGGCTGAGGTAGGAGGATCACTTGAGCCGAGGAGTGCCAGCCTGCAGTGAGCTATGATAGTGACATTGCACTCCAGCTGGATGACAGAGCAAGACCCTATGTAAAAAAAAAAAAAAAAAAAAAAAAAGAAAAGAAAAGAAAGGGACAGCTACCTCTAACTTAAATATGCATACAGATCACCTGGGGATCTTAAATGCAGATTCTGATTCAGGAGCTCTTGATTGAGGCCCAGCACTCTCCTTTCTTCTTCCTCCTCCTTCCCTTGGCCTCCCAAAGTGTTGGGATTACAGGTGTGAGCCATTGTGCCCAGCTGACACTGCACTTCCAACAAGCTTCCGGGTGATTCTGAAACCGCTGCTCTGGTGAGCATGCCTGGAGTGGCAGGAGATAAAGGAGTGGTTCTCGAACCTGCCTCTAGATTAGTAACATCCCTGCCAGGTGCCACCCCCAGAGATTCTGATGTTATTGTTCTGGGGTATGGCCTGATTTTAAAGCTTCTCAGGTGATTTCAATGCAGCCAGGATTGAGAACACTGGATTGGAGGGCGGTTATGAGTTCCCAAGGCCAGCTTCTGAACAAAGGAGCAAACACACTGTCTCTCATTTTCCTTCCTCTCCATCTCTCTGTTCTTCCATCCAGTCAAGTCTCAATTCTACCCCTTCCATTCCACTTTTTGTGGCCCTTCTCAATTTGCTTAAAATAAAAAAGATGACATGAAAACAATATTAAATGAAATTTTGATAAAGCCATCCATAATTTCAGAGCAGTTTTCCACACATCACCGTAAAGTCCTCAAACACATTTGACATTTGAGATTGTGGCCATCTATTTTGGTCAGTGCATTTTTTTTTTTTTTGACTCATTTTTTGTGTGTATCTTATTCTGTCACCCAGGCTGGAATGCAGTGGTATAATCTCAGCTCACTGCAACCTCCGCCTTCCGGGTTCAAGTGGCACAATCTCAGCTTATTGCAACCTCCACCTTGCCTCAGCCTCCAGAGTAGCTGGGACTACAGGTGCGTGCCAGCACACCCGGCTAATTTTTTGTATTTTTAGTAGAGATGGGGTTTCACCATATTGGCTAGGCTGGTCTTGAACTCCTGACCTCAAGTGATCCGCCTGCCTTGGCCTCCCAAAGTGCTGGGATTACAGGCCTGAGCCACTGAGCCTGGACTGTGAATGTGTATTTTTGTTTCCAAGGAAAATAATCCCTCCCAAGCAAGCTCAAGCAAAAATAAGAAGATAAATATATTTTAAGGCCCCGGGGTCTCAACATGTGGCAGCCCTGACCAAGGAGAAGGTCGCATACGATTAGATATGAGGGAGCCCTTTGGGATCATCTAACTCAGTCATTCTCAAACTGGAGAATGCATCTAAATTACAGGGATGGCCTGTTAAAATACAGCTTATGGCAGCGGTCCAGTTTTGTGGAAGACAATTTTTTGGCACCAGGGACCGGTTTTGTGGAAGACAATTTTTTCCATGGACTGGGGCCAGGGGATTGTTTCAGGATGATTCAAGTGCATTACATTTATTGTGCTCTCCTTCCTTCCTTCCTTCCCTCCCTCCCTCCCTCCCTCCCTCCCTCCCTCCTTCCTTCCTTCCTTCCTTCCTTCCTTCCTTCCTTCTTTCTTCTTTCTTTCCTTTCTTTTCCTTCCTCCCTCTCTCTCTCTTTCTCGCTCTCTTCCTTCTTTCCTCCTTCCCTCCCTCCCCCCCCCCCTCCCCTCCCCTCCCCCTCCCCTCCCCCTCCCCCCTCCCCTCCCCTCCCCCTCCCCTCCCCTCCCCTCCCCCCTCCCCCTCCCCTCCCCCCTCCCCCCTCCCCTCCCCCTCCCCTTCCCCTCTCCTCTCCTTTCTTGATGGAGTCTCTCTCTGTTGCCAGGGTGGAGTGCAGTGGCATGATCTTGGCTCACTGCAACCTCTGCCTCCCAGGTCCAAGCAATTCTCTGCCTCAGCCTCCCAAGTAGCTGGGACTACAGGTGCATGCCACCACGCCCAGCTAATGTTTTTTATTTGTAGTAGAGCTGGGGTTTCACCATGTGGCCAGGATCGTCTCATTCTCTTGACCTCGTGATCTGCCTGCCATGGCCTCTTAAAGTACTGGGACTACAGGTGTGAGCCACTGCGCCCAGCCTGTGCACTTTATTTCTATTATTACATTGTAATATATAATGAAATAACTATACAACTCACCATAATGTGGAATCAGTGGGAGCCCTGAGCTTGTTTTCCTGCAACTAGACAGTCCCATCTGGGGGTGATGAGAGACAGTGACAGATCATCAGGCATTAGATTCTCATAAGGAGCGCACAGACTAGGTCCCTTGCATGCACAGTTCACAATAGGGTTTGCTCTTATGAGAATCTAATGCTGCCTCTGATCTGACAGGAGGCAGAGCTCAGGCGGTAATGCTCACTGGCCTGCTGCTCACCTCCTGCTGTGGCTAGTTTCTAACAGACCAGGGTCCCGGTGGTCCCCATCTATGGCCCCGGGGCTGGGGATCCCTGGATTTCAGAGCTCCACTGTCTCTGATTCAGGAGGTCCGGGAGCAGCCTGGCAATCTGCATTTCTAACACGTCCCCAGGTGGTGCAGATGCCGCTGGGTGTGCTCCACACTTTGAGAGCTGCCGCTGTAGTCCACCCCTTCGTTTTACAAATGTGGAAACTGATCTCTAGGGAAGGGAGTTGCTGAACTTAGAGGACCCAGGTGCTGTGACAGCTGTTTCTTCTACTTCACTCTGCTGCCCCCCAGTGGCCATTTCAATATTGCCAGAAACCCGTTTTGGGCACCTGTCTGAAATGACGTTATTACGTAAATTCGGGTGTTAAAACATGAACCATTCTTGTTTTTTGTTACAGAGCTCCTTGTATAGTAGGTGACTTTATCATGTTCCTTACCGAAAGCAGTTGGAACGCACATTTTACTATCATTAGGCAGGCATATTGCAATAAAATAATTATTAAAATGATCATAGAAATGTGCAGACAGGTGCAAGAGATAATTTTAAGGGGAAATACAGAAAAGCAAATTGTGCTTCTGTTCATATCACAACTCTGTAAAAACTACCTAGTGTCTCTATATTTATAAAGTATAAGAAGTCTTGGAAGCATATACACCCAATTGCTAATCACAGTTATTTTTATGAGGTAGGATGTTCAGGAGACTTTTACTTTCTTGAACTGTGAAGAGTTATTTTTGGCCGGGTGTGGTGGCTCATGCCTGTAATCCTAGCACTTTGGGAGACTGAGGCAGGCAGATCATACGAGGTCAGGAGTTCGAGACCACACTGGCCAACATGGTGAAACCCAGTCTCTACTAAAAATACAGAAATTAGCCTCATGTGGTGGTGAGTGCCTGTAATCCCAGCAACTCAGGAGACTGAGGCAGGAGAGTCACTTGAACCCGGAAGGTGGGGGTTGCAGTGTTGCAGTGAGCCAAGACCGCGCCATTATACTCCAGCCTGGGCAACGAGAGCAAAACTCTGTCTTTTTTTTTTTTTTTTTTTTTTTTTGAGACGGAGTCTCGCTCTGTCGCCCAGGCTGGAGTGCAGTGGCGCGATCTCGGCTCACTGCAAGCTCCGCCTCCTGGGTTTACGCCATTCTCCTGCCTCAGCCTCCTGAGTAGCTGGGACTACAGGCGCCCGCCACCGCGCCCGGCTAATTTTTTGTATTTTTAGTAGAGACGGGGTTTCACCGTGGTCTCGATTTCCTGACCTTGTGATCCGCCCGCCTCGGCCTCCCAAAGTGCTGGGATTACAGGCGTGAGCCACTGCGCCCGGCCAAAACTCTGTCTTAAGAGAAAAAAAAGTTATTTTTACACAGATTATAAATTATCTTGAAAAGGCCCCTGGCTATTTCATGAAAGGAAAACAGCCTATATATATGGATATAGAGTTCAAGGTCACCAGAGGACAATAGATGCTATAAGAGTGTGGTGGAGTTATAAAGGGAACAACATTTCTTTCTGATATGGATTAAGGTTGATTTAATAACAAATTAATATTTAAATGAAGCACACAGGGAATTTTCGGCACATGAAAGCCAAGGCCAGAGAAGGTGTCCTCCGTGTGGTGTCTCACTGTCTGGGCATGGCGGGAGCCTCTTTCCTTCCTCATTTCTGGGCCTGGAGGCTTTGATGGGACAAGGTCCAGGGAGGATGCTGTGGAGTCCTAATAGCCCTGGATGTGGTCAGAGGGAGCCACCGCCCTGCTTCCTGTCAACACTCATTCTCATTTTCTCTCCTTCCAGCTCAAAGCAGAACTCCTGGACATTGCCACAGAGAACCAGACGCTCAATGAGACCCTGGGTTCTTTGTCGGATGCGGTTGTAGGTCTGACCTACAGCCAACTGGAATCTCTCTCCCCCGAGGCTGTGCACGGAGCCATCTCCACCCTCAGCCAGGTCTCAGGGTGGGCCAAGAGCCAGGTCATCATCTTGTCTGCCAAATACTTGGCCCATGAGAAGGTCAGCTGGAGTTTTAAACTCTTCTTTATTTCCCCTGAGATGACCTAAGTGTATTAGTCCTCCCAGGCTGCCATAACAATATACTGTAGATTGAGTGGCATAAACAACATACATTTATTTCTCACAATAGTGGAGACTGGGAAGTCCAACATCAAGGTGTCACAAATGTAGGTTTTATTCTGAGGCCTCTTCTCTTGGCCTGTAGGTGGTTTCCATCTTGCTGTGTGCTCACCTGACCACATGAGAGCAAGCTCTCTGGTGTTTCCTCTTACAAGGAAACTAATACCATTGGATCAGGGCCCCACCTGACCATCATTATCTCATGACGTCATTTAATCCTTAAAGGCCTCACCTCCCAATACTATCACATTGGGGGTTAGGACTTTGACATACAGATTCTTGGGGGACACAAATATTTAATCCATAATAGTCATATACACACAGCAGGGGCAACCAATCAGTAAGAAGATGATGCTGAGGAGGACTGCCTGGGTTCAAATCCTCGCTTTGCCATTTACTAGCTCTGTGACACTGGGCAATTTGCTTACTTTTGCTTTGCCTCAGTTTCTCTATTTGTAAAATGTGGACAACAGTAGCACTTACTGCTGGGCTACGTGGCTCACACCTGCAATTTCAGCACTTTGGGAGGCTGAGGTAGGAGGATCACCTGAGGCTAGGAGTTTGGGACCAGCCTGATCAATGTGGTGAAATCCCGTCTCTACTAAAAATACAAAAATTAGCTGGGCGTGGTGGTGCACGCCTGTAATCCCAGCTGCTTGGGAGGCTGAGGCAGGAGGATGGCTTGAACCTGGGAGGCGGAGGTTGCAGTGAGCAGAGATCGTGCCACTGCACTCCAGCCTGGGCAACAGAGCAAGACCCTGTCTCAAAAAAAAAAAAAATTAAACAACAACAACAATAACAAATCAGTAGCACTTACCCTGTAGCATTGCTGCAAATATTATGTGAGTTGGTACACATGAAGAAGCTAGACCACCAGGTGACACCACAGAGTATGAGCTCAAGGGGCGTTAGTCATCACTGAGTGGGATCAACGTGTGGGACTTATCCCAGGATTTTCCTGCCTGCTGTTGAGCGGCTATTAGGTTGATGCAAAAAGCAATCACAGTTTTTGCCATTACTTTGGGTTTAGGGATGATGCTATTTTATTCCAATCTTGGGCTGCAGAGAAGGAACTGTCAGGCAGACAGTCCTCTTTGGTGGGGACAGGAGTCTTAATCTGTGTTCTAGCTGCTCCTGGGGTAGACAATGGACATTCTTTTGGGGACAATTAGTGTCCCTGGGTTGGGTCCAGTCCAGAGGGCTCCAAATATGAGAGACTTGAGTTCTAAGCATTTTGGTGTCATCTTTTTTTGTTTGTTTGTTTGCTCTTGTCGCCCACCCTGGAGTGCAATGGCACAACCTCAGCTTACTGCAACCTCTGCCTCCCAGGTTCAAGCAATTCTCCTGCCTCAGCCTTCCGAGTAGCTGGGACTACAGTCACCCATCACCACACCCAGCTAATTTTTGTATTTTTAGCAGAGACGAGATTTTGCCATGTTGGCCAGGCTTGTCTCAAACTCCTGACCTCGTAATCCACCCGCCTTGGCCTCCCAAAGTGCTGGGATTACAGGTGTGAGCCACTGCGCCTGGCCTTTGGTGTCCTTCTCATTTAGTCCACACTCCTGGCCACTTCCCAGGATGCAAACTGGCTCACAAGGATTAGATTAGGACCCATTCCAATCAAATAATAATAACAAACATTTATTTATTTTTGGCTTCTGGATATTAATTTTAATTACTTTGAAACAACATAATTTACTATCAGATGTTTAACAAGCATCCATTATAATTGCTAAACTGTGAATTCAGTGTTAACTGTGTCTGACTAACTATACAAAACTCATCAATTTTTCTTTTGACGAAATGTAGTAGGCTGGGCGTGGTGCCTTATGCCTGTAATCCCAGCATTTTGGGAGGCCGAGATGAATGGATCACTTGAGGCTAGGAGCCTGAGACCAGCCTGGACAACATGGTGAAACCCTGTCTCTACTAAAAATAGAAAAATTAGCTGGGCATGATGGTGCATGCCTGTAATTCCAGCTGCTTCCAGGCCGAAGCAGGAGAATCGCTTGAACCCGGGAGGCAGAGGAGGTTGCAGTGAGCCGAGATCGTGCCACTGTACTCCAGACTGGGCTGGGCTACAGGGCAAGACTCTGTCTTAAAAAAAAAAAAAAAAAAAAAAGTAGTAGAAATCTCAAAGAATAAAAGAGAGACTACTCCATAAAGGTCATGTTTACTAACCTAGCACCATAATTCCAGTGTTAGTACCTCCCATGCAGCTGGAAGGAGGATATGGGAAGAGGTGAAGATGTTGAAAATGTAAGGGGCTCCATTTTGCTTGCTCTAAAGCGAAATACCACAGTGTCTCATAAAGAAGAAAATCACTGAGGTTGGAAATGAAAACAAAAGCTTTTGATTCAGGTGGTAAAGGGGTTTAAGAGTTATAGAGTAGAATCCATGCACCCAGAAGGCAGTGCTGGAGTCGGCCTCAGGAACTGAGGGGTTTCTTCCCCTTTTTTTCTTTTTTGAGACAGGGTCTCAGTGTGTTGCCCAGGCTGGAGTGCAGTGGTCTGATCTTGGCTCACTTCAGCCTTGACCTCCCAGGCTCAGGTGATCCTCCCACCTCAGCCTCCTGAGTAGCTGGGACCACAGGGGTGTGCCACCATGCTGGGCTGATTTTTTGTATTTTTTTGTAGAGATGGGGTTTTGCAATGTTGCCCAGGCAGATCTCAAACTCCCGGGCTCAAGCAAACTACTCGCCTTGGCCGCCCAAAGAGCAGGAGTAGGGGATTTCTTCTTGGCATCCAAGTCTTTTTAAATTTCTTCAAGTTTTTAAAGCTAGGTTTGGTATGTCATGGTTCTGAGCCAGCTATATTTCAACCACATTCTCCAAAGTAAATCCAAGTGGGAACTGGAGCAGGATGTCGGTAGGGAGGGCGAGAGGGGGATGAAGGGCAGCTGTAGCTCCGAGGGCTGGTCCTAGCCTGCTTCCTCCATCGCGGGGCTAAGGGAGGGGGATGTGGAATAACAAACATTTACTGAACACTTACTATGTGCCAGGTTGTGTTCTAAGTGAGTTAATCATTTAATCCAACAATCCTCTGAAGTCAGTAGTGCTGTCATCTTCATTGTCCAGTTCATTCATGTGAGGTACAGAGTGTGTAAGAGAACTGGAAAAGGCCACATCAAAGTTACGCAGCTGGGATTGAACCCAGGGCACCTGGCCTCAGAGGCGTGTTGTTTACCTCTGGCGGTCACTGTCTCCAGCATGACACCATGACCAATGCCCACCCATTTCCACTTTCTGACTCAGGTACCGGGCCAGCCCATTCATCTGGTCTCTTCTAGCCTCATGGTGACTTTACGCTGAAGGCTTTGAATCCTTGTTTCTGGACCTCGATTGGGGCTCCATGGGTCCATCTTGACAGTCCTCTCTGAATTTGATTTTAGGGAGTTAGGGAGACTGTTGTGTTCCCTCCTAACCCAGGACAAAGTGGTTTGTTTCTTTTCTAATATCCAACTCTTCCTACTGAGGGGTGAGGCCACTTTTACTCAGAAGGCAAGAGGTCAAAAGGTCATGCCTTCTTTGAAGACAGCATGAGATCACCCATTATACACAGAATAACTGAAGGAACCCACTCAGCTGTCTTTTCATAGAACCAAAGCATGTCCTTGGTTATATGGAAAACTTTCTAGCATCTTCACTCTAAAGGAAGGAAAAAAACCCACGTATAATTTCTTTCTTTTCTTTTTTCTTTTTTTTTTTTGAGATGGAGTTTTGCTCTTGTTGCCCAGGCTGTAGTGCAATGGCACAGTCTCGGCTCACTGCAACCTCTTGTCTCCTGAGTTCAAGCAATTCTCTTGCCTCAGCCTCCCAAGTAGCTGGGATTACAGGCACCTGCTACCACACTTGGCTAATTTTTGTATCTTTAGTAGAGATGGGGTTGTACCATGTTGACCAGGTTGGTCTTGAACTCCTGACCTCAGTTGATCCACCCGCCTTGGCCTCTCAAAGTACTGGGATTACAGGTGTGATCCACCACACCCGGCAAACTCTCTTTCTTGATTTGATAGAAGGAAGGAAGGCCTGTGGAGGCAGCCTCTGTCTGGCTCACTGCTGTGCCCCTAAGGTCTCACCTATCCCAATACTTGGCACATAGATGGGCTGAGTGCATGTTGGAGAGGTGAAAAGCGGGAGCAGAGCCTGACTGTGCGGCTGCTCCTCTTCCAGGTGCTGTCTTTCTACAATGTCAGCCAGATGGGCGCGCTGCTGGCCGGGGTCAGCACCCAGGCCTTCTGCAGCATGAACTGCAAGGACCTCTCGCAGGTCCTGAGAAGTGCCGTTTCCCAGTACCTGTCTGACTTGTCACCTGCCCAGCAGCAAGGTATCCTCAGCAAGGTGAGAGGATGATGTCTGGTGCTCAGCCACATGTCACGGGGTGTGCTTTTGGGGTTTGGTGAGTGGGTGTGACTTTGGACCATGAACGCAGGGCTGGGATTGTCTCAGTCGTTGGTGTCTTGGCTCTGCCTTCTCCTGGTGGCACACCTTCCCTCCTTTCCAGACAGAGCCCTTCGGTCATGCTGTCATTCTTCCCAGAACCCTTTGTTCTCCCAGACAATCTAATCTGGAATACTTTTCTTTTTTTTTTTTCTTTTTTTTGTTTTGAGACAGAGTCTTGCTCTGTCACCCAGGCCGGAGTGTAGTGGCGCGATCTTGGCTCACTGCAAGCTCCGCCTCCTGGGTTCACGCCATTCTCCTGCCTCAGCCCTCCAAGTAACTGGGACTACAGGTGCCCAACACCGCGGCCGGCGAATTTTTTGTATTTTTAGTAGAGATGGGGTTTCACTATGTTGGCCAGGATGGTCTCCGTCTCCAGATCTTGTGATCCACCCGCCTCGGCCTCCCAAAGTGCTGGGATTACAGGCTTGAGCCACGGCGCCTGGCCTAGAAGACTTTTCTTAAATCAGGTTTCCTGATCTTATAACACTTCAAGTTTTTTTTTTTTTTTTTTTTTTTGAGACAGTCTTTCTGTGTTGCCCAGGCTGGAGTACAGTGGTACGATCATAGCTCATCACAGTCTTCCGGGCTCAAGCAATCATCCTGCCTCAACTTCCTGAGTGGCTGGGACCACAGGCATGCATCACCATGCCTGGTTAATTTTTTAACTTTGTAGAGACATGGTTTTGCTATGTTGCCCAGGCTAGTCTTGAACTCCTGGCCTAAAGCCACCATGTTTGGCTAATTTATTCATTTCTCGTAGAGATGGAGTATTGCTGTATTGCCAGGCTGCCCAACTCCTGGCCTCAAATAATCCTTCTGCTTCAGCCTCCAAAAGTGCTGGGATTGCAGGTGTGAGCCACTGTTCCTGGCCTCAAATTTGTTTTTCAAATCTAAAAGTAAACCCCAAAGTTCTAGGGTGCATCTGAAAGCCCTTTTCATGGTCCATAGCCATGTCTGTATTCTGTTTTTTTGTTTGTTTGTTTAGATAGGGTCTTCCTCTATTACCCCAGTCAGCATGCAGTGGCATGATCTTGGTTCACTGCAGCCTCCACCTCCGGGGCTCAGGTGATCCTCCCACCTCAGCCTCCCAAGTAGCTGGGACTACAGACCTGTGCTGCTCACTAATTTTTGTGTTTTTTCTAGAGATGGGGTCTTGCCATGTTGCCTGGGCTGGTCTCAAACTCCTGGGCTCAAGTGATCCACCTGCCTCGGCCTCCTACAGTTCTGGGATTACAGGCGTGAGCCACCATGCCTGGCCCCTTTTTTACTTGTCAGGGAGTCTTTTGACATCTTGCCCTATCAGGTCTGTTCTGTCCAATGGCAAAATCTGTTAAGAAACCAAAACTTGGCCAGGTGCAGTGGCTCACGCCTATAATCCCAGCACTTTGGGAGGCCAAGGTGGGTAGATCACGAAGTTAGGAGATTGAGACCAGCCTGGCCAACATGGTGAAACCCCCTGTCTCTACTAAAAATACAAAAAATTAGGCCGGGCGCGGTGGCTCAAGCCTGTAATCCCAGCACTTTGGGAGGCCGAGATGGGCGGATCACGAGGTCAGGAGATCGAGACCATCCTGGCTAACACAGTGAAACCCCGTCTCTACTAAGAAATACAAAAAATAGCCGGGCGAGGTGGCAGCGCCTGTAGTCCCAGCTACTCGGGAGGCTGAGGCCGGAGAATGGCGTGAACCCGGGAGGCGGAGCTTGCAGTGAGCTGAGATCCGGCCACTGCACTCCAGCCTGGGCTACAGAGCGAGACTCCGTCTCAAAAAAAAAAAAAAAAAAAAAAAAATTAGCTGGGCGTGGTGGTGCACTCCTGTAGTCCTGGCTCTTCGGGAGGCTGAGGCAGGGAAATTGCTTGAACCCAGGAGGTGGAGATGTGGAGATTGCAGTGAGCCAAGATTGTGCCACTGAACTCCAGCCTGGCGACAGAGCCAGACTCCCATCTCAAAAAAAAAAAAAAAAAAAAACAACAAAAAACCTAAGGGGTTTGGCCTAAAACACCAACATCTTACAGATAGCAAGTAGACCATACAGTTAAAATAAAGAAATAAAGAGCATGAGTTGCATGGGTTTTGGAATCAGACAGACTTGGGCTTGAATCTCACTTACTGACTTTCAACTCATCACACTTGAAGTCTCTGTTTCCTCACCTGTGAAATGGGGATGATGCTACTCTCCACTTCCTAGGGTTGCTGAGCCGGTCTGATGGATTTTATTGCCTGTGTTGTAGTGTCCGGCCCTTCCTTAAAGCTCAGTGCATTTTTTACAAGGTTGTTTTGATGCTTCTCACTTTTGGCAGATGGTGGAAGCTGGAGACACTGCCTCAGGCATTGTGGAGATACAAGGGGCTTTCTTTAAGGAAGTGTCTCTCTTTGATTTAAGGAGGCAACCTGGATTCAACTCTACAGTCCTGAAGGATAAGGAACTTGGAAGGAGCCAGGTACTGCCATGAAGCACAGATTGATCCTGTATTTCTGACTCTCTGTCTTGTGAGAATGAATGGTCTGTTTTAAAGTTAATTTGATAAAAGAAATTTATTTCTGTGTGCTTAGTATAGGAGGCAGAATAGTATAGTGTTAAGAAGTTGGACAGGCTGAGGCAGGAGGATCGCTTGACGCCAGGAGTTTGAGACCAGCCTGGGCAACACAGCAAGACCCTGTCTCTACAAAAAGTTAAAAAATTAGCCAGGCGTGATGATGCATGTCTGTGGTCCCAGCTACTCAGGAGGCTGAGGCAGGAGGATCATGTGAGCCTGGGAGTTCCACAATGCAGTGAGCTATGGTTATGCTACTACTACACTCCAGTCTGGGCAACAGAGCAAGACCCTGTCTCTTAAAAAAAAAGTTAGACAACACCTGAGCATGAATTCTGGCTCCCACTTATTTATTAGCTTTGGAGAAGGTCCTTATATGGCCTCAGTTTTCTCATGTGCAAAATGGGGATAATTTTGATAATAAAATGAGGGTCACTGTTATATGCCACGTGGGTTGTGTGCTATAAATATTTGCGGCTATTATGTGCGTTATTAAATGCTGTGAGCATTGAGGCCACTTGGGGGGATGGTGCTGTTGAAGTGGATGCTCTGCCTTAGTACCGTCCTTGACTTCCTTTGTATCCAGTCAATCTTCATTACATGCACTCAGGAAATGTTTATCAAGCACCGCCCAACAATGCGCCAGGCACCGCTCACAGTGCTGAGAGTGCAAAACTGAATGAAATCCCAGACACAAATCCCTGTCTGTTGCAGGGGCTCTTGCTCAGGGTCTCTCATGAGGCTGGATGATATCCCGGTTATCTATTGCTGTGTCACAAACCACCTCTAAATTTAGTAACAGTGGCAACTGTTTTATTTTATTTTGTTTTATTTTTTGAGACAGAGTCTCTCTCAGTCACCGAGGCTGGAGTGCAGTGGCACAATCTTGGCTCACTGTAACCTCCTCCTCCTCCCGAGTTCAAGCAATCCTCATGGCTCCGCCTCCTGAGTAGCTGGCATTACAAGCACACACCGTCATGCCAGGCTAATTTTTGTGTTTTTTATAGAGACAGAGTTTCACCATGTTGGCCAGGCTGGTGTCGAACTCTTGACCTCAAGTGAACTGCCCGCCTTGGCCTCCCAAAGTCCTGGGATTACAGGTGTGAACCAGGGCACCCGGCCAATAGTTTTATTTTGGAAAATACCTCCTGCCACCAAAGACTTCAAGATACTTTTATCCCACTGAGCTGATGGGATTGCCATTTCCTGAGATGGGGAAAGACCGTGGGAGGGTCCCCGAATTTGACTCTGTGCCCAAGGAAATCTCTGGGGCCATAAACAGTGTCCAGAACTTCCCTCCATCACCCACTCCTTTTGCCTGGGCTTTTGTGCTGCTTTCTGGCTCTCAGCTACCATATCTAACGCTAGATCATAATTTATTCTGTTTGGGGAATGATGCCCAAAGTTTCAGAGTCTATAAAATAGACAAATGTAGTACTTGATTGCATCTGCAAGCTAGGGATTCTGTAAAATTATGTTCCTTAAAACAAATGACTCCCTTGTCTACTTGGCATTGTTCTAGAGTGCTCATTGGGGGGTGGTTTGAAGGGAGTGCATGCTGCTGGCTGCGGGTACTTTATTGCTGGTGCTTTCTAGCCCATCCTGGTCTATTCTGGGATGCCTGGTGTTCAGGACCTGGCAGGTGCACATGTAAGTAGGAGCCACAGGGAGTTCTCAACTGGTCAGCAGTTTTGTAAATCACAGGAAGTAAAACTCCAGCCTTGCCACCAACATCTTTGCCTCTCATCTGCCTCATGGGGCGCAGAGAATCACGTGGAGTGTGAGAACAGGGCTGTGGAATTACCTTGACGCTGGTTCAAATCCAGGCACTGCCACTTAGCGATGGTGTAGTCCTAGGTAACTCACATAGCCTGTTAAGCCTCCATTTCCCCATCTGTAAAATGGGATTGTGGAGCACCTGCCTGATGGGGCCTCACAGTGTTGGGCACACGCTAAGTGTGCCATCAGTGCTGTCGATCATTCTCTTCTCGCAGGCTCTGTTCCTGTATGAGCTTCTGTTAAAGACCACCAGAAGGCCTGAGGAGCTTTTGAGGTAGGAAAATGTAACTTGGCCTGGGTGCCGAACAGGCCCTTCAGAACCTTTTGCCAGAGCAGCCTACTTTCCCAGGAGGGAGAGTTAGGCAGTCACATCTGTAGCTTGTGTCTGATCATATCTGCCTTCTCTTGCTCTTTCTTTCCTCTCCTCCTCACCTCCTTCCTCTCCTGAGTCCCTTGTTTTGTTTTCTAGTGCTGGGCAGCTGGTCAAAGGCGTGACCTGCTCACACATTGATGCCATGAGCACTGACTTCTTTCTGGCCCATTTCCAGGATTTTCAGAACAACTTTGCCCTGCTTTCACCGTATCAGGTACCGTTAAAGCATTTTTCAGCTTCTAATTCTCACTCCCTACCCCAGTCACTGGGCCTGAATTAGCTGTGGCGTCTAAAGATCTTTATGCCAGAATTATTTAGACGCAAGTGATGACTTAGGGCCAAAGATTGAGCCAGGTTTTTTCCAGTTTCTTTTTAAACAGCTCCAAATACCCACATCTCTACAGCCAGAGTATCAACAGATTGGTTATTCCATACTCAAATTTGAACCTTAAAATATATTCATAAGGGATAGTATTTTGCGTGTTCGTAATTACGTTCTCGTGAGATGAAAGGTGATCCTCTAGCTAATATTCCAACATTTTCCAGGAGTAGCTGTGAATGCGAACAGTACTCTGAGAACATTTTCTTTCTCACTTAAAACTTCATTTTCCAAAAGATTATGGAGGCTATTTAACCCTTTGGGGAGATTAGAAGCAGTAACTGATTTTTTTTTTTTTTTTGAGACAGAGTCTTGCCCTGTCACCCAGGCTGCAGTAGAGTGGCACGATCATGGTTTACTGCAGCCTCAACCTCCTGGGCTCAAGAGATCCTCCCGCCTCAGCTTCTTGAGTAGCTGGGACTAAAGGCACACACCACCATGCCTGGCTAATTTATTTATTTTTTTGTAGAGATAGGGTCTTGATATGTTGCCCAGGTTGGTCTCAAATTCCTAGGCTCAAGTGATCCTCCTGCCTCAGCCTCTCAAAGTGCTGGGATGACAGGCATGAACCACTGCACCCAGCCAGTGACTGATTTTTCACAGGGTCTAAGCTAGTAAACACAGGCCTTGCAGCATTTGAACTTTTGGTGTGAACCGTTCGCTTACAGACTCCTGTAATGGATAGAAAAAGCACCTTCTCAACTCTGGCCTTGCGTTTCAGACTAGAATGAAGAATTTCCAAAGAGGAAATTATCTCCCAGAAAATCAGGAAGCATAGAGTGCTTGCTGTATAATCCTTCAAGATCATTAGAGGAATATGCAAAGTTTTAATGAAGCTCTCTCATTCCCTTGGGCTGTTAATTCTGTTAGTGATTCTTAAAGTTGAGCTTGCATCAGCATTGTCTGGAAGGCTGTAAAAACACAAATTGGAGGCCCCACTCCCAGAGTTTTACATATAGTAGGTAAGGGGTGAGGCCTGAGACTTTGCATTTCTAATCGGTTTGCTAGTACAAACCACTGAACTATATTAAAAGACCTGCCCAGGTGGGCAAGCCAATAACTGAGCAAATGGATGGAGGTCAGACCTGCTTTGAGGAAGACCTACATGTTCGAGCAGGAAGAGTTACCCCAGTGAAGGTGCTTTCCTAGGCTTCCAGCTCTCAGAGCCTTCACATACCAGTTAATTAGATAATTTGCCTTTCTCATTTATATTTTTACTAAAAACACATTATTATTATTATTATTATTATTATTATTATTGAGACAGGACCTTGCTCTGTTGCCCAGGCTGGAATGCAGTGGCTCAATCTTGGCTCACTGCAACCTCCGCCCCTGGGTCCAAGTGATTCTCCTGCCTCAGTCTCCTGAATAGCTGGGATTCTAGGTGCCCACCACCATACTTGGCTAATTTTTGTATTTTCAGTAGGGATGGGGTTTCACCATGTTGGCCAGGCTGGTCTCAAACTCCTGACCTCCAACGATCCACCAGCCTCAGCCTCCTAAAGTGCTGGGATTACAGGCATGAGCCACCATGGCCATCCTGCAAACACATAATTATTACAAAAAAAACAAAAACAAAAAACCATAATACAGAGAAAGTAAAATTTCCCCAAATTTTCCCCAGAGCAGTTGTTCTCAACAGAGTACTGTTTTGCCCTCTTAGGGGACTTTTGGCCCATGTCTGCAAACACTTTTGGTTGTCACAACTGGAGCAGAGCTATTGGCATCTAGTGGGTAGAGGCCAGGGGTGGTGTTCAACATCCTACAATGTGTAGGACAGCACCGGTACACAGAGGTATCTGGTCCAAAATGTCAATAATACTGAGGTGAGCAACCGTGTTTCAGAGGTAACTATAAAGAACAGTTTGCTATCATTTTTGAGAGTTTTCTTTTACATATAAAATATAGGCCAGGCACAATGACTCATGCCTGCAATTCTAGCACTTTGGGAGGCTGAGGTGGGAGGTTCATTTGAGGACAGGACTTTGCAACCAACCTGGGAAACATATAGCAAGACTAACTGTACAAAAAGTACAAAAATTAGCCAAATGTGGTAGCACACGCCTGTAGTCCTAGCTACTTGGGAAACTGAGGCAGGAGGATCACTTGAACCCAGGAGTTCAAGGCAGCAGTGAGCTATGATCGAGTCACTGCATTTCAGCCTGTGTGATAGAGTGAGACTCTAACTCTAAACCAAATTTAAAAAAACTTATCTATTTACATGTAATATAAAAACCACAAGTGGGCTGGGCATAGTGGCTCACGCCACTTTAGGAGGCCGAGATGGTGGCTCACTTGAGGTCAGGAGTTCGAAACCAGCCTGGCCAACTTGGTGAAACCCCATCTCTACTAAAAATACAAAAAAAAAAAAAAAAAAAAAAAAAATTAGCCATGCATGGTGGCAGGTGCCTGTAATCCCAGCTACTTGGGAGGCTGATGCAGGACAATTGCTTGAACCAGGAAGGCGGAGGTTGCAGTGAGCTGAGATTACACCACTGTACCAGTGGGTGACAGAGTGAGACTCTGCCTCAAAAAAAAAAACAAACCACAAGTGAGTTCATACTATACACACTGTTCTGTTTATATATATAGCTAAGATATATATATATAGATATGTAACTATATATATAATGATATATATAGTTAAGCTATGTATAACTATATATAATTAAATATAACTATATATAGTTAAATATAACTGTATAACTATATGTGTAGTTAAGCTATATATATAGTTTAACAGAATAGTGTGTACAATATGAGCTCATTTGTGGTTTTTACATTATAATATAACTATATATGTATATGCACATGCATAAAATAGCACAGACATCATTTAATGTTCATATATATAAATCTACCTTATTTAAAACAAAGTAGGTGCACTATTCCATTGTATGTATATACCATAATCTACTTAACCAATCCCCTGCTGAGGAATATTAAAATTATATCTCCCTTTCTTGCAGATATAAAACAATTGCGATGAGCATCACACTTAAATGTCTGTGTTAATGTTTGTTATTGCAATTTTCTCATCCATAAACTGGGCAGAGTAGTGGTACCTACATCATAGGGTGCTGTATTGCATAAGTGAACACATATGAAGCACTTAGAATAGTGCCTGGCACACGGAAAGCACTACTTGTGTTTATTCTTCTTCTTACTGCACTAAATCCCCAGAACTGCTTAATCTTTCAGGTTAATTGTTTGGCGTGGAAATACTGGGAAGTTTCCAGGTTGTCTATGCCACCTTTCCTCTTGGCTGCACTCCCGTAAGTGAACATCAGCCCCCACTTTCTGGCTCAGCAGTAAGATTGGTGGGAATCACTGAAGTCAAAGTGATTCTCTCCCCACTGGGTTTTTTTGAGGAACTAGAGGCAGAGTGGAGCGTGCCTTAGAGAGTTAAGCCCTTGAGATCCAGGATTTCAATTCTGAGTATCATATAGACATTTCAGACAGACCTTCTTGCTTTTCATGTTATGTAAAAACCAAGCCAAAGCAACTGAAGCCTGACTGGGTGTCAGTGAGGCAGGTCCCATCTGGCCTGGCTTTGTGGCTGTGCCAGGCTTCAGGGGAATCAGGGCTGATGGGAGTAGTAGGTGTTTCTCCTGGCATGTGTGAGCTTTCAGGCCTGCAGGGTAGCCCTGCTTTTCAAACATGATCTGGACATTGTTTCTCTCCTTTTCTCCTTCTTTATTTCCTTCTACCTTATTTTGCTTTTATTGTCTTCATTCATTCAAAAAAAAATTCATTGAGTACTTGCTGTATGCTAGTTCTCAGATAGCTAAATTTTCTATCTGAAAATTTAGAAATTCCTATTAGTTTATCAGACCTTATAATCTCATGGTGGGAGAGGGAATAGACAAACATGAAGCCAATTATAGTATCAGGTTGATATTTGGTTGAAAGCAACAGAACTGAAACTGAAACTGGATTATGCAATAAAAGGGAATTTTTGGTTCAGGTAACTGGAAAGTTGAGAGGGACTTCAGGCATGGCTGGATCTAGGGGTTCAAATGATGTCATTTGTCTCTTGTCCCAGCTTATCTCTGCTGGCTTCACTATCAGGCAAGTTCTTTCTCTGTGGAAACCCTGGCAGATCTAAGGTTAAATTTTCCCAGCTTCATATTCAGGGAAAAGAGAAAAACATTCTCTTCCCATCGTTCTCAATACATGTCTTGGGTTTGACTCTCATTGACCTTAATTGGGTGAATTTGTTTTCCTTGAACCAATCAGTGAGGTTGGGAGGATGGGTAACTTTGACTGACTTTAATCTGTATTGCACCCCTGGGGCTGGAGAGAAACCATAAGGTCTTAGAGTGAGAGAGATGGTTTTCTGAGAAAAACCAGGTGCTTTCCTAGAAAGCCAGGTGCTGTTCTACACCTCTGTTAGCACAGAGGTGTAAGAACATGTTTCAGGGAAGATGTTGAATCTGGTTTTCGAACAGTCAAGTGGTGGGGTTGAGTAGGCCAGATGGGTTTCAGGCAGCCTTTCTCAACTTTTTTATTGCTTTCCAAAGGAGAGGCAAAGGAGAGGGATAATGAGCACTGGGCACAGAGGAGAGAATATCACCTATAGACTGGAGAGACAGAGGAGACTGAACTAGTGCTAGATCAAGAGTTTAAGATGGACATTCCAGGCAGTGGAATGGGGATGTCCGGTTCAGCAGTGGGTAAGAAAAGCAAATCACTCTGGGAACACATGGGGGTATATCTGCGGAGTAGATAGGGGAGAGAAGGCCAGAGAAGTAAGGAACATCAGATCATGGGGGCTTTGTGAAGTGAGGAGTTTCACTCATATTCTGTGTGCAGCCATCAGATTTATATTTCAGAACAATCATAGCCACTACCCACATGGAGGACAGAATGCAGGGAGGATGAATGGAAAGAAGGGAGACAGCTGAAGATTATTTCAGTAACCCAGATCTTGGCATGGCATTTCTTCCACTCATTCATGTCTCAGCTCAAATGGAACTGCCTTAGAAGGGGCTCGTTTGATTATCCCCATTGTCATTCTCTTTTACAGAGCCATTTTATTTTCTTCCTTACATTAATTAATTAATTACTTTTTGAGAGTCTCCCTCTGTCACCCAGGCTGGAGGGCAGTGGTGTAATCTTGGCTCATTGCAACCTCCGCCACCTGAGTTCAAGAGATTCTCCTACCTCAGCCTCCCCAGTAGCTGGGATTACAGGTGTGTGTCACCACACCTGGCTGATTTTTGTATTTTTTGGTAGAGACAGGGTTTCACCATGATGGCCAGGCTGGTCTCAAACTCCTGACCTCAGGTGATCTGCTTGCCTTGGCCTCCCAAGTGCTGGGATTACAGGCGTGAGCCACTGTGCCTGCCTTCTTCCTTACATTTATTAATAGCTGAAATGACCTGTTTTATTCATTGGTTTCTGTGTTTCTTCTCTCTACTAGAATTAAGCACCATGAATGCAGGACCACTTGTGTCTTGTTCATTGTTATATTTGGTGCCTAGAATAGTGCCTGACTTACTGTAGATGTTTTGTAGGTATTTGCTGGATGAATGAAGAAATAAATAAGACAGTGGTACTGGGAATGGAGAAGTAAGAATAGATTTTTGTTGTTGTTGTTTTGAGACAGGGTCTCATTCTGTCACCCAGGTTGGAGTGCAGTGGTGCGATCTCAGCTCACTGCAACCTCTGCCTCCCAGGTTCAAGTGATTCTTCCACTTCAGCCTCTGGAGTAGTCGAAACCCCAGGTCCATGCCACCATGCCCAGGTAATTTTTTGTATTTTTGGTAGAGATAGGATTTCACCGTGTTGCTCAGGCTGGTCTCAAACTCCTGATCTCAGGTGATCCACCCACCTTGGCTTCCCAAAGTGCTGGGATTATAGGTGTGAGCTACCACACCCAGCTGGAAGTAAGAACAGATTGGGATAATACTAAGGAGATAGCAATAACAGGCTTGGGACAAAGAAAGAAAGGAGTGTGGGATAGCACAGAGGTGGAAGAACATGTTTGGGAGAAGATGTTGAATCTGGTTTTGGAACAGTCGAGTGGTGGGGTTGAGTAGGCCGGATGGGTTTCATGCAGCTTTTCTCAACTTTTATTATTGCCTTCCAAAGGAGAAAATTTTAATTTCTCCTGAATGAAAGAAATTATACACTGAGGAAAAATATTCTGAGTAGGAATGAGTTTCAGTGGGTCACAGATCATAACAGTCTTTTTTATCCCCCATCCAAACCAGTTTCTCCTTTTTGAGGGTGACCTTGACCCTGTTGAGAATACATGGTCAAGAGCTGAAGGATCAAGAGCTGAAGGCAGGGTTCTGGACTGGAGATGACAGAATTTCTCTTTCCACTCTTTTTCTTATCTTTCTTTCTCACTTTCTACTTATTCTCTCTCCTCTTTGTCTCTTTTTTCATCTACTTTTTCCTTTCTTTTTCATCTCCCCTCAACCAGTCCATCAATCAACATGTTTATTTATGGAGAACCCATTATCTGATCAATGCTCTGGGGCATAGAAGAGGAGCATGATGGGAAGTTTGTTCCCACCCATAGAAGAGGGTCATGATGGGAAATTTGCTCCCACCCATAGAAGAGAGCATGATAAGTTTGTTGCCCATTCATAGAAGAGATAGCATGATGGGAAGTTTGTTCCCACCCATAGAAGAGGAGCATGATGGGTGGGAGACTTGCTACCTGCTGCAGGGAGCCAAAGCATCACTGGGGAGAACAAACATTTAAAGAACGTCTTTGGGATGAGCTCTTGGGCATGTGGACCCTGATTTTAGGGGTCAACAGGAGCAGCCACGTGTTCCTCCTCTTGTTCTCCACATCCCTTTCCAGGGCCCGCTACCTGGCTTCTGTCCCAGCCTCCCAGTGTGTGCCCTTTCTGATCAGCCTGGGGAAGAGCTGGTTGGATTCCTTGGTTTTAGATTCCCACAAAAAGACTTCAGTCCTCAGGAAAGTGCAGCAGTGCCTGGTAAGAAAACTCTTCTTGGGCATTCCCTCCCTCTGGGTGTCTGTGGCCATCTTGGGGAGCCCTGTGAGGGATCTGGCTGGGATCTTGAGCCTGCTCTGATGTCCAGAAGTCTGACTTGTGGGTCTTGAAGCTTACTCTAAAGCTGCTGGTTGGAACAATCTTGGCCATTGGTTCTGGAGACTTCTGCTCCAGGGTCCAAAGGAGGGGAGGCTACTCTGGAGGAATGGAAAGAGCACAGTACCCGGAGACTGGGTGCCAGTGATTGGTTATGTGGCTTTGGGCGAATCACCTTTCCTCCCTGAGCCTCAGTCTTCTCATCTGTAAGGTGGGGGTAATAGCACATCCCCCATAGAGTATTTTTTTTTGGGGGTGGGGCAGAGTCTCACTCTGTCACCCAGGCTGGAGTGCAGTGGCGCGATCTCAGCTCACTGCAACCTCTGCCTCCCAGGTTTGAGCGATTCTCCTGCCTCAGCCTCCCAAGTAGCTGGGAATACAGGTGTGTACCACTATACCTGGCTATTTTTTGTATTTTCAGTAGAGACAGGGTTTCATCATGTTGGCCAGGATTGTCTCAAACTCCTGACATCAGGTGATCCACCTACCTTGGCCTCCCAAAGTGTTGGGATTACAGATGTGAGCCACTGTACCCAGCTTCCTCATAGGGTATTGAGAGCATGACATGGGCAATGTGTTATTTAATGTAAAGGCTCAAAGGCCAGACTGTCTGGGTGTGAATCCTAGCCTTGCCACTAGCTGGCAGTTTCTTTTTCTTTAAAAAATGGATAATAGTAGTACTTACTCCTTACAGTTACTTTGAAGATGACTAAATTGAGACCCGTAGATACTCAGGACAGTGCACATAGGAAACACACAACAAATGTCAAAAATTTTTGTCATTTTGCAAAAGTGCAAAAGAGCTTTGAAGGCTTTCAAGTGGCACACAGACTTCGAAGTGCTGTTTTCGTTGTTGTGGTGCTAATAGTATAATGGTGGTTGAACTCTGGAATATTCTTAGAGCAGTAACAATGACAGTAGTGCTCAATTACTGAGTGCTCCTGGTGTGCCAAGCCAGGGTTTTCCAGATTTCTGAGGCCTGCATCCCTGGGGAAGATCAGGTCCCCTTCCATCTCTAGGAATCTGTGGCAGGTAGGCAATTCAGATCCTGGAGTCTTTAAGAAGTTTGGGATTGGAACTTTTTTTTTTTTTTTTTCTCTTTTTTGAGACAGAGTTTTCCTCTGTCACTCAGGCTGGAGTGCAATGGCATGATCATCTCGGCTCACTGCAACCTCCACCTCCTGGGTTCAAGTGATTCTTGTGCCTCAGCCTCCTGACTAGCTGGGACTACAGCCATGCGCCACGACGCCAGGCCAATTTTTGTATTTTTTTTTTTTTGAGACGGAGTCTCGCTGTGTCTCCCAGGCTGGAGTGCAGTGGCGTGATCTCGGCTCACTGCAAGCTCCGCCTCCCGGGTTCACGCCATTCTCCCGCCTCAGCCTCCCAAGTAGCTGAGACTACAGGCGCCCGCCACCACGCCCGGCTAGTTTTTTGTATTTTTAGTAGAGACGGGGTTTCACTATGTTAGCCAGGATAGTCTCGATCTCCTGACCTCGTGATCCGCCCGTCTCGGCCTCCCAAAGTGCTGGGATTACAGGCTTGAGCCACCGCGCCCGGCCCAATTTTTGTATTTTTAGTATAGATGGGGTTTCACCATGTTGGCCAGCCTGACTTTGAACCCCTGGCCTCAAATGATCTGCCTGCCTCGGCCTCCCAGAGTGCTGGGATTATAGGTGTCAGCCACAGTGCCCACCTCACAGGATATATTTCTAATGGTTCATGATCTTATGCTCTGCTGGAACTGCCCATTGGCTCCACTTTTTGGGTTTAGGACAACTCCATTGCCGATGAGTACACTGTGGACATCATGGGGAACCTGCTGTGTCACTTGCCCGCAGCCATCATCGACAGGGGGATCTCCCCCAGGGCCTGGGCAACTGCTCTACACGGCCTCAGAGACTGTCCAGACCTCAACCCCAAGCAAAAGGCTGCAGTGAGGCTCAAGCTCCTGGGACAGTACGGGTGAGGAGTGGCTGGGCTTGGCTTTTGGGGCTGTGGTATGCTCTGTGGAGGGACACTCAACCTTGGCTTTCCTGCCCTGCAAACAGAGTCTCTGGCTTAGGATGAGATAAAATTATTAGGCTTATTTTGGAAATGTGACCTTTCTTCTTTTGGCTTCAGATTTTTTTTTTTTTTTTTTTGAGATGGAGTCTCACTCTGTGGCCAGGTTGGAGTGCAGTGGTACAACCTTGGCTCACTGCAACCTCTGACTCCCTGGTTCAAGCGATTCTCCTGCCTCAGCCTCCCGAGTAGCTGGGATTACAGGCATGTGCCACCACGCCCAGCTAATTTTTGTATTTTTAGGAGAGACAGGGCTTCACCACGTTGGCCAGGATGGTCTCGATCTCCTAACCTCGTGATCCACCCGCCTCGACCTCCCAAAGTTCTGGGATTACAGGCATGAGCCACCATGCCTGGCCTTGGCTTCAGATTTGCTGTAAAATGGAATCAATAGTAGCTTCTCTACAAATCTCAAAGAGTTGTTACTTACACAGCTTGGCATATGAAGGGGAAATTTGGAAAACATGGCCCTTTACAGATGCACAGCAGTGGTATTATTATTAGTTTAAAAACTATATATATATATATATATTTTTGAGATGGGGTCTTGCTCTGTCACCCAGACTGGAGTGCTGTGGCACAGTAATGGCTCACTGCAGCCTCAACCTCCTTGGCTCAGGTGATCCTCTCACCTCAGCCTTCCAAGTAGCTGGGACCACAGGTGCACATCACTGTACCCAGCTAATTTTTGTATTTTTTTTTAAGGGATGGAATTTCATCATGTTGCTTAGGTGGGTCTTGAACTCCTGGGCTCAAGGGATTCACCCACCTAAGCCTCCCACAGTGTTGGGATTATAGGTGTGAGCCACCATGCCTGACCCTAGAGTCTATTTTTAAGACTAGTTTTAGGTTCTCAGAAAAATGGAGAGGATAGAGATTTCCCATATCCCTCTGACCCCATACATGCATAAACTCCCTGTGATCAATATCCCCCACCAAAGCTGTACATTTGTTAGAACTGATGAACCTATGTTGACATTATTGTCATTGGATTCTCATTGTCACCCGAAGTCTGTATTTTACATTAGGGTTCACTCTTGGTGCTTTACATTCTATGGGTTCAGACAAGTATATAATAACATGTATTCACCATTATAGTATCATTTGGAGTATTTTCGCTGCCCTAAAAATCCTTCCGGGCTTTGCCTGTTCATTCCTCCCTCACTCCTAATTCCTGGCAACCACTGATACTGTTGCCTTTTCTAGAGTATCATATATTTGGAACCATACAGCAGATAGCCTTTTCAGATAGACTTATTTCACTTAGTAGTATGTACTTAAGTTTTCTCCAGGTCTTTTTTTGGCTTGATAGCTCACTTCTTTTTAGTGCTGAATAATATTTCATTGTCTTCATGAACCACAGTTTATTTAGCCCTTCACCTACGGAAGGACATTTGGTTGCTTCCAAATTTTGGCAATTATGGATAAAGCTGCTATAAACATCCATATACAGGTTTTCATGTAGACATAAGTTTTCAGCTCCTTTGCGTAAATGCCAAAGAGTGTGTTTGCTGTGTTATATGGCAAAAACATGTTTGCTTTTGTAAGAAACCACCAAAGTTCTTCCAAAGTGGCTGTATGATTTTGCATTGCCACCAGCTGTCACTGCTAATTGGGCAGACCTCCTTTAGAGATGTCACCAAAGATAGTGTAATGCTCTTCACTGTAGGCATTTATGATCTACATAAGAATAACAGTGGATTCCGGGTCAGTGCTTTTATTTTATCCTGCCAAGTTCAAGAGAAAGTTTTTTTTTCTTATTCTAGGAAAAGACTGTTATGGTAAATTAAAAGGAAGAGATATATAATTACTCTTCTATCGGGGAGGAGGAGGAAGGAAACACTGATGTAAATGGCAGAAATTCAATAATTTAATTCAAACTAAAGAGAATGAGAATGTATTGAATTCAGGAATGGAATGTAATGGGAAACTCCACTGGTGGTCTTCAGGCGTGGCTGAATCCAGTGTCTCAAATGACATAATCAGGAATACGTTCCTCCCATCCCTCAACTCTGTGTTCCTTGGTGTGGTCTTTACTTTTTCCACTTGGTAATAACGAATGTCCTCCAATATCCTCTTTACAGCCAGAGATACCAGAGAAAGTAGAGCTTCTCTGATAGTTCCATCAAAATTCCCAGGGATGACTCTGATTGGTCAGCCTGTATCACATGCCAATTTCTTGATCAAGGAAGTGGGACCATGTGATTGACAGTTTCTCTGAGTATAAGACAATCTGTTCCTGAAAGACAAGAGTGTTGGGGGAAAAGGCAACAGATGTCAACCACAGCATGCTTTTTTCACTTTACTGGTTATTATATCTTTTTAGACTCCCTCAGCACTGGACAGCTGAGACCACGAAGGACTTGGGACCCTTTCTAGTACTTTTCTCAGGAGATGAATTAAGCTCTATAGCCACAAAGGTAATGTTGTGCTTCATCTTAAGAAGGCGGAAGGAGTTTGAAGGGGAGAGAAAGTGTGGTCAATTATACTGCGGTCTAAGCTTCTGGAAGCTTCCTCCCTGCCTCAAAGGGCTAAGATGTTTCCAGCTCCATTCCAGGATGTGCAAGGTTCTGGAAAAGGGAGTGAGGCCACAGCTAAATGAACTCAGGCCCTTTTGTGTGGCCCCCCAGGCAGATGTGTGCAGACGGGCATCACTTAGCTACCACTCTGCTATTAGTGTGCATCTCACACCCACATCTGTTCTGGCTCTCACACTGGCTGGTGCCCTAGGCACATGCACATATATGTCCAGTGTATGCAATCACATGTGCAGACACATTTAATCCAATAACAAGTCTTTATTGATTATTACATTTGGGCATGACACTTTTCTTGGAGTAAGGCTCCAGAAGTTAGATAGTCTAGGTCAAGGGACATGGAAAATAAGCATGAATTAGTCATTTTTGCTGTGTAACAAAGCCACACAATCTCAAGGGCATAGAACAATTCGCATATGTTTCTTGCTGCCTGATCTGTGGGTCACTGGAGCAGCCCTGCTCTATAAGGCTGCATTTGGAGCCCAGCCTCTAGAACTTGTTCTCACCATGAAGGTGTGAAACTACCAAAAAGAGAAGGGATAAGTACAATTCTCCTTAAGTCCTAGGCTGGAAATTGACACGCTGTCACTTCTGCCACACTCCAATGGCCAAAGTAAGTTACATGACCAAGACCAACTTTAATGGGGCAGGAGGTGGAGGGTAGGAAAGGAGTGAATGTTTGCTGAACGACAATCAGATTCCCCACAAAGCATATCCACACACTCTCATACCTGCACTTTCAGGCGCAAGGTACATATGGTCACACATACTCAGCAGGGCCTGAACACACAGAACATCACCTACGATTACACATGTGCAGCACACATTCTTAAGTCCAGTCACAGTAAAATCATATTCTGGATGTCCAAATATATGGTTATAAGCAGTTGATGCACAAATGTTTATTTTTATTTTATTATTTTATTTTATTTTGAGATGGAGTCTCCCTCTGTTGCACAGGCTGGAGGGTAGCGATGCAATCTCGGCTCACTGCAACCTCCGCCTGCCGGGTTCAAGTGATTCTCCTGCCTCAGCCTCCTGAGTAGCTGGGATTACAGGTGCCTGCCACTATGCCCGGCTAATTTATATATTTTTAGTAGCTATGGGGTTTCACCATATTGGCCAGGCTGGTCTTGAACTCCTGACCTCAAGTGATCTGCCCGCCTTAACCTCCCAAGTGTTCGGATTATAGGCGTGAGCCACCTTGCCTGGCCCTGATGCACAAATGTTATATATCCATCTATTTTTTTCCTTCCTTGTTTTTTCTATGTTTAGATGTTTATTATTTTCCATAAGTTATTGGGGTACAGGTGGTACTTGGTTACAGGAGTAAGTTATTTAGTGGTGATTGGTAAGATTTTGGTGCACCTATTACCCGAGCAGTATACACTGCGCCATATTTGTAGTCTTTTATCCCTTGTCCACCACAATCTTCCATCCAAGTCCCCAAAGTCCATTGCATCATTCTTATGCCTTTGGGTCCTCATAGTTTAGCTCCCACATATCAGTGAGAACATACATATATCTATCTAATCTTAAAAAAATCAACTTCTGAAATTGAAAAAGTCTTGTATCAACACTGTGAAATCTCAAAAACACAGTGTAGAATTTTAAAAAAACCCAGGTTGCAAAAGAGTATCTATAGTAGGATATGAAGTAAATAAATAAATACTAGCTGAATTAATTTAAAGCATATGTAAACCAAGTTTATATGTAAGAGAAGTGTAAAAGTGAATGCCAAATTCAGAGTGGCAGTTACTTCTGGGGAAGGAGAAGGCAAAGAGTGAAGGAGGGACTTATTATTTATATTGTGATGTTTTATTTCTTAAGCTGGGTTGTGAGAATGGTGTTTTGTTGTATTATTCTGTACACTCTTTTTTTAAATACTGGAAATGTTTAATAAAACAAGTAATACATGCTCCTGATTAACAAATCCCAATTGCACTAAAGGTAATAGGATGAGAGGCAAGTCTCCCTCCCACCCCAGACTTGTAGTTCCCTTGCTTCCCTCTTCAGAGGCAGTTGCTGTCCCCAGTCTCTTCTGCATCCTTTCAAAAAAATCCTGACTACTTATATAACAAGTTTTATATACGTGTAAAAATATCTATATAACAAGCCAACATGGTGAAACCCTGTCTCTACTAAAAACACAGGAGCATATATACACTCTTCTTTAAAAAATACAAAATGGAAAATACCATTCACTCCGTTATGCACATTGCTTTCTAAAAGTTAACTGTCTTAGAGCAGTTGCTTTCCACCTTAGCTGCACATTAGAATCACCTGGGGAGATTCCAAGGTGGACCAGTCCATGGTATCTAGCCCAGACCAACTAGTCAGAATCTGTAGGAGCTGGCTCTGGGTGTCCCAGGTGATTCTTATGTACAGTCAGGGTTGAGAACTGCTGGCCTAGACGGTGACTCTAATTCTGAAGATGAGTCTAGAAAGGGGAGATACATAGGCTGAGAGGCTTTCTCTCTGGGTGAGCTGGGACCCAGAGAGGCATAGCTGTTTGTAGGGCTTGATGAATTATCTGGGCCCACGGACAGGCCTCCTAATAATATCCCAAGTGTTGACAAAGTGTATTCTTTCTAGATGAGAAATGGCACTTTCTCCAAGGCAACCCAAAGTCCCCTAAGTCCCCTCATTGCTAGTCTCCATCCAGGATGTTGAGACAACCCTTCTTCACCTCCTTTTCATGATAAATGTTGTTAGGCAATTCTCTTTTTCTTTTTTGAGACAGAGTCTAGCTCTCTTGCCCAGGCTGGAGTGCAGTGGCACGATCTCAGCTCACTGCAATCCTCGCCTCCTGGGTTCAAGTGATTCTCCTGCCTCAGCCTCCTGAGTAGCTGGGATTACAGGCATACACCACCATGCCCAGGGAATTTTTATATTTTTTGTGGAAACAGGGTTTCACCATGTTGGCCAGGCTGGTCTTGAACCCTTGACCTCAGGTGATCTGTCTGCTTGGGCCTCCCAAAGTGCTAGGATTACAGGTGTGAGCCACTGCACCTGACCTGTGTTAGGCAATTCTTGCATTGCTATAAAGAAATACCTGAGACTGGCTAATTTATAAACAAAAGAGGTTTACATGGAATACTATGTGGCTGTAAAAAAGAATGAGATCGTGTTCTTTGCAGGGACATGGATGGAGCTGGAGGCCATCATCCTTAGCAAACTAATGCAGGAACAGAAAACCAAATACCACATGTTCTCACTTATAAGTGGTAGCTAAATGATGAGAACATATTGTCACATAGAATGGAACAGCAGATACTGGGGCCTATTGGAGAGTGAAGGGTGGGAGGAGAGAGAAGATCAGCAAAAATAACTAATGGGTACTAGGCTTAATACCTGGTTGATTACATAATTTGTACAACAAGCCTCCATGACACAAGCTTACCTATATAACAAACCTGCCATGTACCCCTGAACTTAAAATAAAATTAAATTTAAAAATAAAAAATAAAAAGGGCCAGGCGCAGTGGCTCATGCCTGTAATCCCAGCACTTTGGGAGGCCAAGGTGGGCGGAACGAGGTCAGGAAATCGAGACCATCCTGGCTAACACGGTGAAACCCCATCTCTCCTAAAAAATACAAAAAATTAGCCAGGCGTGGTGGTGGGTGCCTGTAGTCCCAGTTACTCAGGAGGCTGAGGCAGGAAAATGGCGTGAACCCTGGAGGCAGAGCTTACAGTTACTTGAGATTGCACCCTGCACTCCAGCCTGGGTGACAGAGCGAGACTCCATCTCAAAAAACAAAAAACAAACAAACACCGCCAGGCACAGTGGCTCACATCTGTAATCCCAGCACTTTGCGAGGCCGAGGTGGGTGAATCACTTGAGGCCAGGAGTTTGAGACCAGCCAGGCCAAGATAGTGAAACCCTGTCTATACTAGAAATAAAAAAAACTTAGCCTGGCTTGGTGCTGCATGCCTGTAATCCCAGCTACTCAGGAGGCTGAGGCACGAGAATTACTTGAGCCTGGGAGGTGGAGGTTGCAGTGAGTGGAGATCCCACCACTGTACTCCAGCTTGAGTGACAAAGCGAGACTCTGTCTGGAAAAAAAAAAAAAAAAAAAAAGAGGATCAATTGGCTCATGGTTCTGCAGACTGTACAGGAAGCATGATGCTGGCATCTGCCCAGCTCTTGGGAAGGCCTCAGGAAACTTACAATCATGGCAGAAGGCAAAGAGGGAGCAGGCACGTCTTACTTCGCCCCGGCAGGAGCAAGACAGTGATGCGGGAGGTGCTACGTGCATTTAAACAACAAGGTCTCGAGAGAATGCTCTCGTTATTGTGAGGACAGTACCAAGGGGATTGTATTTAACCATTCATGAAAAATCTGCGCCCATGATCCAATCACCTCTCACTGGGCCCCACCTCCAATACTGGGGATTACATTTCAATATGAGATTTGGGTGGGGTACACATCCAAAGTATATCAAACATAAAGTTTAGTAAAAACTTTGAAATAGCACCAAACCAAAAAAGGGGTAGGTACATATACATTTTTTTTTTTTTTTTTTTGAGACAGGATTTTACTCCCATCGCCAGGCTGGAGTGCAGTGGCATGCTCTCAACTCACTACAACCTCCGCCTCCTGGGCCCAAGTGATCCTTCTGCCTCAGCCTCCTAAGTAGCTGGGATGACAGGCGCGTGCCACCACACCTGGCTAATTTTTGTATTTTTAGTAGAGACGGGGTTTCACCACATTGGCCAGGCCAGTCTTGAGCTCCTGACCTCAAGTGATTTGCCCACCTCGACCTCCCAAAATGCTGGGATTACAGGTGTGAGCCACTGCACCTGGCCTAGCCTACATTTTTTGTTGCTATTATCAGATTGCTCTGCTAATACTGCACAATTTGACAGTCCCACAGAAAAATGAATGTGCCCAACATTAAGTATTAGCACTTTATTTTATTTTTGACTATCTAGTGAAAAGTGATGTATTTATGTTTTTTAGCCTTTATTGGATTTTTATTGAGGTTGAGTATCATTTTATAGGATTCTTTATAGAGACCACATTAGTGGGACTAGGGATTAGATTTATATGAGAAGTTGCTATAACAAAGAATGAAGGCAGTAAGTAGTGTGACGGTTTCAATTCTGATTTCAATCTGTATTTAAGGGGCTTTAATTATTATTCATCTTCTTTCATCTTCTCTCACACAGTTTCCTGAGATCCTTCTACAAGCAGCTTCCAAGATGGCCAGGACCTTGCCCCCTAAAGAATTCCTTTGGGCTGTCTTTGGATCTGTTCGGAACAGCAGTGACAAGATCCCCAGCTCTGACCCTATGCCTGGTGAGTGTTTCCAGGGTATCTGAGCCGCTGCTAGGGTAGCAGTGTTTTGGGCAGGGTCTCTGACATCAAGAGGCCTCCTTATGCAGGGAACTGGATGAAATGTCTGCAAAGCAATAGAATGACAAAATCTATAGGCAAAGAATTACATTTTTGGGTCAGGCGCGGTTGCTCAAGCCTGTAATCCTAGCACTTTATGAGATTGAGGCAGGCAGATCACTTGAGGTCAGGAGTTTGAGACCAGCCTGGCCAACATGGCAAAACCTTGTCTCTACTAAAAACACAAAAATTAGCCGGGCATAATGGTGCGCGCGTGTAGTCCCAGGTACTCCGGAGGCTGAGGCACAAGGATTGCTTGAACCCAGGAGGTGAAATTTGCAGTGAGCTGAGATGGTACCGCTATACTCCAGCCTGGGTGACAGTGAGACTCTGTCTCAAAACAAAACAAAAAAGAGTTACACTTTTGTAAAGTAACCTGGAATCATGTCCCATACTCCATACCCAGGCTAGTAGGTTTAATGAGTGAATTCGTGTAACAAACATTTCAGTAGGATTGACTTAAAGGACCAACATGGTTTAACATTGCAGTGACAGGGCTGAGCTGGCTAGATTTCACTCCTGAGGCTGCCACTTACTGGCTGTGTGGTTTTGGGTAAGCTCTTTAACCTCTGTGTGCCTCAGCTTTCATCCTCTATCAAATGGGGATAATGAAAGTCTCTACCTCACTGGGTTATTGTGAGAATTAATGGGTTTAAGCCCAGAAACATGTTTACAAGAATGTCTGGCATGTAGCAGACCCTTAATAAGTGTTAGATATTTTTAAAATTTGATTTTAAAAAAAATTTTTGAGGTGGAGTCTCACTGTGTCACCCAGACTGGAGTACAGTGGCATGATCTCGGCCCACTGCAACCTCCGCCTCCCAGATTCCAGCAACTATCCTGCCTCAGCCTCCTGACTAGCTGGGATTATAGGCATGTGCCACTACGCCTGGCTAAGTTTTGTATTATTAGTAAAGGTGGGGTTTCACCATGTTGGCGAGGCTGGTCTTGAACTCTGGCCTCAGGTGATCCACCCGTCTTGGCCTCCCGAAGTGCTGGGATTATAGGTGTGAGCCACTGCGCCCCCGCCTAAAATTTGATTTTATAGAGGCAGGGCCTTGCTTTGTTACCCAGGCTGGAGTGCAGTGGTGCAATCATGGCTCACTACAGCCTCGACCTCCTGGACTCAAGAGATCCTCCCACCTCAGCTTCACAAGTAGCTGGGACTACAGGCATGCACCACCACATCTGGATAATGTTTTATTTTTTGTAGAGATAGGATCTTGCCATGTTTCCCAGGCTGATGTTGAACTCTGAGACTAAAGTGATCATCCTGCCTTGGTCTCCCATAGTGCTGGGATTATAGATGTGAGCCACCATGCCTGTCCAAGTGTTAGATATTTTATTATCATTACCCTGCACCTACTAAGTGCAGACTGGGGCCAGGCATGAGGAGACAAAGTTAATCAGATCCAATGGTAGTAGTTGACAGTCAGTGCTTGCTTTCATCCACCCAACAAATATTAGTTAATCACTAATTATGTGAACAAAGAGCTTACTTTCAAATGGAGGGTAGCAAGACAATAAAGTCCATACATAAGTGAAATATATGGTATATCATATGAAAAGTGCCAAGAAGGAAAATAAAGCAAGGGAACGGGCCATGAGTGTTGGGAGGGGGACTATCATGTGAAAAGAGAACCATGAAGGAACGTCTCATTGAGAAGGTGACATTTGAATGAAGACCCAAGGGAGAGTGCGCCATGTGAATATTTTCAGTTAGAGTCTTCCAGGCAGAGGGTGCGACAGGATCACTTCTGTGAATGGGAGGTAGGGACCAGTGTGTTTGGAGGGGAGTGAGAGACAAGGCCAGCCATGTAGGGACTGATAAAGGAAACCCTAATGACTTTGGCTTTTACTCTGGATGGAGGCATCATGTGACATCGAGCAAAGAAGTGTCACAATTGGATTTATGTGTACCTTGGGTGACTATCCCTCATGCATTATATTGTTCTCCCGTTTTGTTTTTCTTGGTGAATGTGGGGATTTTATTGGGTAATGGAGGTGGCTCTCAGTGGGATGGATGGGGAGCTAGAAAGGGGATGGGGTGGGAAGATGATCTTCCCCTGGAGTTTGGCTGTCCTGTGGCCAATCTCCTCTCCGACCGTCCCCAGCCAAACTCTTCTTGGTATTCAGACGCTTCTTCTTTTCACTCCTTCTCTGCCATGCTGCTCTTCTGCTCCTCTTCTCTTTATTCATCTGCTCATCTGCTTATATGCTCATGGAGCCTGGGGTTTGGGGTTTATATGGGTACAGGATAGTGGGATGTGGCAGGCCAAAAGGTAACACTTGGATGTGAAAACAGGAATGCCTATTCCATTTAGGGCTGTGGATTTCCAGGCTTGGGTGTTCTCTTGTTTTTTAAATTAAGGAAACTGGGGCTTAGGAGACTAAGGGACTTGTCCAAAGTCACAGAGTTAGTAAATGGCAGTGTTTGGATTTGTACCCAAAGCTGATGGTGAGCACCACTGGCTCCCACTGCCCTCAACATCTGGCAGTCCATGTCATCATATTGCAGAGCTCTTACTGTGTGCATGTGGTACACAAAAGTAAGGCTGTCCACGCTCAGGGGAAGGAAGCTCTGGTATCAGTGCATAGTTTGAGTGTTCTTCAGTTGGTTCTGGGTATTAATTGCTGCTATGCTTTAGTGATTAATGAATTAGCAGAATTACTGCTTGGTTTTATATTAGTTTGTGTGTGTGTGTGTGTGTGTGTGTGTGTTCATTCACCCACAGATATTTGCTGAACACCTACTATGTACCAGGCTCTATTCTAAGCCCTGGACAGACACGGTGATAAGACCAAGTCCCTGATGTACTAGTCAACCATTCTGCCCTCTCTAGTTCTGTGCTACCACTGATGTTGTTTTCACTAGAGAGTGGGGTAGGGGTTGGCCTAGGGAGGGATGGATCTTTAGTCCCTTCCAAGTGGCTTATGATAAAGATGTTTGAGGACCACAACTGGCATCTTTGATCTGGTCTACTTTTGCCTCTTGATTGGAATGCATTGAATTTCCATTGAAGGTGCAATGAGAAGAGAGAGGCCATGGGGCTTTGGGAAATGCCCTGGCCTTGGGTGGGGTTGGTGCATCTGTCAGCATCAGTGGTGGTCTGCTGCTAAGACAAGAAATCCATGGTTGCTCTTAAGGATCCTAGAGTTTTCTCCCAGGTTGGGCACATCGGAGCCAGCAAAGACAATATCTCATTTGCATGTTGGTTGGTAACTGGTTTGAGTAGGTAAGGTTCATGTTATTCAAAGACCAAAATGGCTGTTTTTCCTCTTGCCAAGGGAAGTGCAAAGGGCTCATTTCTCTTTTCTCTTGGGATGGGAAATCCACAACCCCCACTATGATTTTCATGGACAGCAACTCATCTTCCTAGTTTTTATTTTTTATTTTATTTTGACACAGGGTCTCACCGTTACCCAAACTGGAGAGTAGTGGTATGATCACGGCTCACTGCAGCCTTGACCTCCCAGGCTCGGGTGATCCTCCCACCTCAGCCTCCTGGGTAGCTGGGACTACAGGCATGTGCCATCATACCCAGCTAATATTTTGTAGTTTTTTTTTAGAGGTGAGGTCTTGCCATGTTGCCCAGGCTGGTCTTGAACTCCTGGGCTCAAGTGACCCTTCTGCCTTGGCCTCCCAAAGTGCTGGGATTGAAGACATGAGCCACCATACAGCCCATCTTCCCATTTTTATAGGAAGGCTCCTTCATAATTTTGGAACCTTTATGCTGGGTTGCAAACTCAAAGGCATAGGGGGTGAGGTAGGCAACAGAAATTGTGTATTGAGTGCTTACTGTATGCATGGCACTGTTCTAAGTGCTTTATATATAACACATTTAGTTTTCACAACCATGCTATGAGGTGATTTTATTTCCATTTTGTAGACAAGAAAACTGAAATACAGAGAGTTTAAACAGCCTTGGATTTGAATCGAAAGTCAGGACTGTTCACCACCAGCTCTTACTGCCCTCAAGGAATTTGTAGTTTAATTGTAATGTTGCACTGCTTCTAGTTTGTGCATGTGGATGTGCAAAAAGCTGACATTTCCATGACTTTGTTACCCAGTAATTAGCAAGAAATGGCAGAAGTGGGATTCAGTCTAGTCCCTGGGCTCCTGCTCTCCACTTTTACTCTATAGTCCCTTCCATGCATAAATCTGACTGGCGAAGAAAGTTACTCATTTCAATACACAGACTAACATTTCCTGAAATTCTCTTTCCTCTTCTCCTTCCCTGCATCTCCCCTTTCTTCAGGTTGCCATGGAGTCGCGGCCCCCTCTTCCGATGACATCTTCAAGTTGGCCGAAGCCAATGCCTGCTGGGCCCTGAAGGACCTGCGGTGCATGGAGGAAGACACATTCATCAGGACTGTGGAACTGCTGGGAGCTGTCCAGGGTTTCAGCCGGCCTCAGCTGATGACCCTGAAGGAGAAAGCAATACAGGTGAAGCCCACCTCAGGGAGGAAATGTTAAACAGAGGAAAAAAGAAAAACACCAAAACCAGTTCAGCATTTCTGCACATAGAGCCCTCCTCAAGGAGTTTTCACATATATCATCTTGAAATTTTACTGCATCAGCTCAGTGATATTGTGATCTCCTTATCTGAGAAAGGAGGAAATTTCCAGTTCCTCCCTCTTAGGACTGTGGCAGAGAATGGGATGAGATGTGTCTTGGCATCTAGCAGATGCTCAGTGAATAAAGTTCTGTGGCTGTCCCAATGCCTCTGACCAAGGCGGTTTGCAAGAATTAGCCCTTTTATTCCTTCACGTGGAGAGCCCCAGCTGCTGCTCACAGCAGGTTTTCTCAGAATCTGTTGCAAATTTGTCTGAAAATATAACAGAAAGGAGTAAAAAGAGGACTGGAAGTAGTTTTCCATCTTTAAAAAGGTTCTTTGTTGGCTGGGTGCAGTGGCTTACGCCTGTAATCCCAACAATTTGGGAGGCCGAGGCGGGCGGATCACGGGAGGTCAGGAGTTTGAGACCAGGCTGGCCAACATGGCAAAACTCCGTGTCTACTCAAAACACAACAATTATCCGGGCATGGTGGCATGCGCCTGTAGTTCCAGCTACTCGGGAGGCTGAGGCAGGAGAATTGCTTGAACCCAGGAGGTGGAGGTTTCGGTGAGCCAAGATTGTGCCAGTGCACTCTAGCCTGGGCATCAGAGCTGAGACTTTGTCTCAAAAACAAAATAAAAGTAGGCTGGGCACAGTGGCTCATGCCTGTAATCCCAGCACTTTGGGAGGCAGATTACGAGGTCAAGAGATCGAGACCAGCCTGGCCAACAAGGTGAAACCCCATCTCTACTCAAAATACAAACAATTAGCTGGGTGTGATGGCAAGGACCTGTAGTTCCAGCTACTTGGGAGGCTGAGGCAAGAGAATTGCTTGAACCCGGGAGGCGGAGGTTGTAGTGAGCCGAGATTGTGTCACTACACTCCAGCCTGGTGACAGAGCGAGACTCCATCTCAAATAAATAAATAAAAAGAAAAAGGTCGCTTTGTGGCCTGTTTTAGCTTTTTTTTTTTTTTTCTTTTAAGACAGAGTCTTGCTCTGTCGCCCGGGCTGGAGTGCAGCAGCACGATCTCTGGTTCACTGCAAACTGCCTCCCGGGTTCAAGTGATTCTTGTGTCTCAGCCACATGAGTAGCTGGGACTACAGGCACAAGCCACCACGCCTGGCTAATAATTGTATTTTAGTAGAGTTGGGGTTTGTTTGGCCAGGCTTGTCTCGAACCCCTAGCCTCAAGTGATCTGCTCACCTTGGCCTCCCACGATGCTGGGATTACAGGCATAAGCCACTGCGCCCAGGCCCATTTTAGCTCTTTACATGGTTGTAGAATATCTAGTTACCCTCAAGGGTTAAACAATTCAGTTTCTTAAAATTATAAATATAACTGTATTTGTGTATTATATGAGTACTTCAAGTTTATTGTAGAAAAGTCAGAAAATAATAAAGAAGAAAATCAGTGATAATCTTTTACTTACTGTTGATATTTTGATAAGCATTGATCAACAGATAAGTACCGTTGATATTTTCGTATATTCATTTGAAGCTTACCAGACTCCGAAACTGTGTATATAAAAATATTACTTTGTATATTTCATACACATATCTCATGTTCTACAAAAATATTACACTTACCTACTATTCAATAACTTGCTTTCTACACCCAACAGTACAGACTGCATATTTTTTTCATATCCAAAATGTAAATCTATGTCAGTATTTTATTTATTTATTTATTTTTTGAGATGAGTTTTGTTCTTGTTGCCCAGGCTGGAGTACAATGGTGTGGTCTCAGCTCACTGCAACTTCTACCTCCCAGGTTCAAGCAATTCTGCCTCATCCTCCCAAGTAGCTGGGATTACAGGCACCTGGCACCATGCCTGGCTAATTTTTGTTTTTTTGTTTTTTTTTAGTAGAGATGGGGTTTCACAATGTTGACTAGGCTGGTCTTGAACTCCTGACCTCAAGGCCTGCCTTGGCATCCCAAAGTGTTGGGATTACAGGCTTGAGCCACCGTGCCCAGTCTATATCAGTGTTTTAAATAGCTTTGTAATATAATTAGCCTTCCATATCAGTGGGTTCCACATCTGCAGATTCAACCAACCTCAGGTATTTAGAAAAAACACTCCAAATAACAATAAAAAACAATACACATAAAAATACAGTAGCATTTTTGACATATCATTTTGTACATATTTACATAGCACTTACATTGCATCAGGTATTACGAGTAATCTAGAGATGATTTAAAGTATACAGGAGGATGTGCATAGGTTATACGCAAATACTACACTATTTTATATAAGGGACTTGAATCTCCGTGGATTTTGTTATCTTCGAGGAGTCCTGGAACCAATCCTCGGTGCAGGTATCCACAGGGGCAACTGCATTTTATTTATGGTTAGTTCTTATTTATTTAGCTAATTGTTAGACTTTCAGGTTGCATTTTAAAAAATGCCTCAAGGTATGCCTTTATACATATACGGTTGGGTACTTGTCTCATTTACTCAGGCTAAATTCCCAGAGGTAGAATTTCTGGGTCAAAGAATATAAATACTTCAAAAGCTTTTGATACAGATAGCCAAATTGCCCTCTCAACAGCATGTACCAACTTATATTCTCAACTACAACAAATGAGGGTATCCCTTACCTTGTATCTTTCCAGCATCATAAATGATGATAATTCTTTTCACTTCTTGTCATATGATGAATCAACATGGTCTTCTCTGATTGTTTTTAATGTATATTTCTTTAATTATGACTGAGAATAAACTTTTCCCCATACATTTAATTTTTCTTTTGCGAATTCCTTGTTGATGTCTTCTTTTATTTTTAAAACAAATATAGTTATCTTTTTATTATTGATTTAAAAGAGAGCTTTATATTAAGATTTACCCTGTGTCTTTTAAATTTTTCATTATTTTTTATTAAGGGATAGTTAACAAATACAAATTATATATATTTATGGTATATACATATACACAATATGGTGTTTTGATATATGTATACATTGGGGAATGGTTAAAGCAGGCTAATTAACATATCAATCACCTTTCATACTTGTCAGCTGTCAGTTTTTGTTGTGAGAATATTTAACATCTACTCTCTTCACAATTTTCAAGTATTCAACACATTATTATCAACTATGGTCACCATGCTGCACAGTAGGTTTCCCTATGTCTGTTTTATTTTTATTTTTTTGAGACAGGGTCTCGCTCTGTCACCCAGGCTGGAGTGCAGTGGCACCATCTTGGCTAACGGCAACTTCTGCAAGTGAGTCTTGTGCCTCAGCCACCCGAGTGACTGGGATTACAGGTGTGTGCCACCATGCACTGCTAATTTTTGTTTTTTTTTGTATTTTTAGTAGAGGCAGAGTTTCATTATGTTGGCCAGGGTGATCTTGAACTCCTGGCCTCGTGTGATCTGCATGCCTTGGCCTCCCAAAATGCTGAGATTCCAGGTGTGAGCCACCGCACCTGGCCTCCTTATGTCTGTTTTAGATACTGTCTTTGTCCATTCAGGCTGCTATAACAAAATATCGTAGACTGATAACTTACAAACAGAAATTTATTTCTCACAGTTCTGGGGGGTGAGAAATCAAAAATTGAAGCATTGGCAGATCCAATGTTTGGTAAGGGCTTATTTTTCATAGATGGTGCCTTCTCACTGTGTCCTCACATGGTGGAAAGGGGCTAGCTTGTAGCTAGCTCTCTGGGGGCTCTTTTACAAGGGCACTAATCCCACTTATGAGAGCTCCACCCTTATGACCTAATCATCTCCCAAGGCCCAACCTTCTAATATTATCACATTGGAGATTAGGTTTTAACATACGAATTTTAGGGGGGTACAAACATTCAAATCATGGTGTAAATACCATCACCAGTGTTCAGTCTATTCTGTTTTCTTTTTTTGCCTAAAGGTTTGGGACATGCCTTCTTACTGGAGAGAACACCATATCGCCTCCCTAGGGCGCATTGCTCTGGCTCTTAATGAGAGTGAGCTGGAGCAGCTGAACCTCAGTTCCATAGACACTGTGGCTTTTCTAACCCAGCAAACAGAATGGAGCCCGAGACAGGTGGGTGGATGTTTCTGGGTCTTTTAACTATTCCGTATTTATAAGAGCTGCCTTCATATTCTTACTGTTAATTTCATCATCACTGTCATGTTTGAGTCCGTTGCTGTTGACTGATTTTTATCTTAGTTCTGGGTCGTATTTTCTTTTTTTGTTTGCAAGCCTAGCAATTTTGATTGGGTGATGAGCATTGTGGATTTTACATTGTTGAGTATTTGATTTAGTTGTAGTTCTTTGAAGAGTATTGGGCTTTGTTCTGTCATACACTTAAGTTACTTTCAAATCAGCTTGATCCTTTTGATGCTTCCTTTTGAGTTTTGTTAGGGCAAGTCCAGAGTGACCTTTATTCTGTGGTTAATTTATCATCATTACTGTGACATGATTCCTTTGAGGACACTACCTAATGCTCCATGTATCCAAGACCTCTCTACTCTGGCTGGTGAGAACGTGAACTATTTCCAGCTTCACATGAGCTCTGGAAGTTGCTCAGCCTAATCCTTTCTGATTACTGATGACTCTTTTCCTGCCTATGTGGAGTTTCACTCTTTGCATGTGCAAATTAGCAGTCAGTACTAGACATCTCTGCAGATTTCTGGAACTCTCTGCAGTTTCCTCCTGTCTAATACTTTGCCCCACAAGTGATAAGTGCCCTGGCCTCTCTCAACTTGGATCTCTGTATCCTCAACTCGACTGGGCCACTGGGCGTGTTGTGGTTCCTCTTCCTGATCTATGTCCTGGAAACTGCTTTTTGGCAGTAAGTGAGGGTAATTTTAGGGCTGATCTTGTTTGTTTTTCTTCTTTTGGGATTATGATTCTGTGTTGTTCCATATCCGGATGCAGTTGTCTGATATATTTTGTTAAATTTTCTAGTTGTTTATGGTGGGTGGACAATTCCTATGTTAATTAATCCTTCATGGGCTAAAGAAGTTTTCCCCAGAATTTTAATTGTTTTGATTGGGAGAGAAGTTTAGGGTGTCTAATCCACTGTACTGCTGGAAAGGGAAATCTTAGCCCTTCCATGTTATCTTCATTCTCAGGCAGCTCTCTCAGCAGTCATTTTCAGCACTAGGCTTATATACAAACTAATTAACAAGTCCATAAAAATGTGCCACTTCTTTATTAGTTTTTGGAAAAACCCCAGCATTGACTCCACTCATGGAGTTGCCCACCCATGAGCAACCACTCTGGTCAGGGGTTGAATATGTTGGTTGGCGAGGCCTGCATCAGGGAGTGGAGTCCATCTTATCACCATCTCATGACCACATGAGCCGCGTGGGGAAGGATATGTGGTAGGCTGATTACGGTCCTCCAAAGGTGTCCATGTCTTAACCCCTAGAAGCTGTGAATATGTTAACTTATGGAGCAAAAGGGACTTTGAAGATGTGATTAAGGATCTTGAGATGGGGAGGTTGTCTTGGATTATTTGGGTGGGCCCAATATAATCACAAGGGTCCTTTTAAGAAGGAGCAAGGAGGGTCATAGATAGAGAAGGTGACATGATAATGGAAGCAGAGGGACTAGAAAGAGATCTGAAGGTGCTCTGCTGCTGATTTTGGAGATGGAGGATGGGGCTGTGAGCCAAGGAAATGCAGGTGGCCTCTTGAAGCTAGAAAAAGCAAGAAAATGAATTCTTAGATCTCCCAGAAAGAACCTATCCTTCTAGTCCATTTTAGGATGTACAGTCTCCAGAACTATAAGAGAATAAATGTGTATTTTTTAAAGCCACTGTATTTGTGGTAATTTGGTAGAGTAGCAATAGGAAGCTAATAGAGGGTAATTTTCCAAAGAAAAGTGTGGATGCTGAGCAGCCAAAACCAATGAATGTCCCCCTACTCTTACGAGCTTTTTGTAATCACGGTTGCCTTGTTTCATAACTCTGAGTGGCACCATTCAAACAGAATACAGTGTGAGTGGTGCCCCCCTAGAGCTGGGCAACATGCAGATCCTGGCCATGAAGATTACATGAGTTAAATACTTGAAAACGTTTTGAACAATGTCTGGTACATAGTATTCAATAAAAATTAGCTGTTTTCATAGTTGATATTGACATCATTGCGTTGTCATTATCAACATCATCATATCATTATCACCATCATCACAGCCCCTTTCTCTGGGTTAGTCTCCTCCTTTGCAAGATGAGAGGGTTAGCCCCAACACTCAGAGGTTCCTTTCAGTCTGATATTCTATCGTCCCATGGTTCTTTGACTCTAAAACTGGTTTTGACTAGTTTGAGAAGTGCCACATCACACTGTGCTATTAAAATCATTCTATTTGCAGTCTGGGAGAAACGGAAAAATACATCCAACTTAGAAACTAGGGTATCTCTTTCCCTTCGCACCGATTTTAATTCTCATGGATGGCAGTGAGATTTATCAATATGTTTGAAGAGGATATGAAAACCTAACATTTGCATGTATCATTTGCAGTCAGTTCTTCAACTTTAGCTCCCAATCAAACCTTAAATGCATGTTTCTAGATTAATAGTCAGACCTGACAGAACTACATTAACAGATAGTTCAGCTCAAAAACCAATATAAGGAAAATAACTATTATAGAAGCCAGAGGGATGAACAGAGGGATTGAAATCTTAAAGCTATTCATTTTTCAACAGTTAATATTTCCTAAAAGTGTTGGTGTTAATTGTCTTGGAATCATTACATATACGCTGGTCTAGTCACTCAAGGAAATATGTTTTAACTTATCACCTTGCAGGCTGAGCTTGCATTTTCCGGGTTTCAGTGGCAAGGACAATTTAATACCACATCTTCAAAGTAATTTTATTTAAATTGTATTTTTGCACTTTCATTTTAAAGTGAGCATTCCTGATAGTTGAGGAGCCCAAATTGCTCTGAGTCAACTAGTGAAACCTGATTGTGAAGACTTAATAAGAAAAATTTGAAAGCTAACTTGAATCTCCATCTTTTCTCCACAGCCAAACACTTTCACTGGCTAAGAGTATAGGCCATGGATTCAGACTGCCTGGGTTTTGATGCTAGAACCATCATTTTCTTTTTTCTTTCTTTTTTTTTTTCTTTTTTAGATGGAGTTTTGCTCTTGTTGCCCAGGCTGGAGTGTAATGGCAAGATCTCCACTCACTGCATCCTCCGCCTCCCAGGTTCAAGCCATTCTCCTGCCTCAGCCTCCTGATTAGCTGGGATTACAGGCATGCACCACCACACCCGGCTTATTTTGTATTTTTAGTAGAGACAGGGTTTCTCCATGTTGGTCAGGCTGGTCTCGAACTCCCGACCTCAGGTGATCCACTCGCCTTGGCCTCCCAAAGTGCTGGGATTACAGGTGTGAGCCACCGTGCCCGGCCAGAATGATCATTTTCTAGCTATGTGATCTTGGCCTAGTTACTTCACTTCTCCATGCCTCAGTTTGCTCGTCTGCAAACTAGGGAAACTATTAATACTTACCTCATAGGGTTATTTAGGAGGATTAGATGAGATAGTATGTGTAAAGTGGTCAAAGTAGTGCCAGCACACAGTATGCACTCAATAAATGTTAGCTATTACCACTTTTGATATACAGTCCCATTAAGTCAATGACATATAAGTCTAAGCATGGTGTTACTGAATCCCCCGCCCCCATAGTAGCTGTGAGCTTTGTAATCATGGAGGACAACTTGATGAGGACACTGACCAGTCCGATTTTCAGAAACATGAGAAGTCTTCCTGAAGCCAGTCTATTACATGAAGGCAGCAAAGTGAAGCATGTCAAAGACTATATATTGCCCATGACTTCTGTAAGTCACTCACTCAGATGTTGTTTCATTCATTCATTCATTTACTCAAGAAGTACTTACTGAACTCCTACTGTGTGGCAGGCATTATGCTAGGTGCTGGGGACTCAGTGGTAAACTACCTGGATATGGTCCTTTTCTTTTGGGCGCCTACTTGGTGATACAGACAAAAAAGTGAGTAATCAAAGTGAAAAATTTGAAAAATCATGATAAGTGATGCAGAAAATGGACAAGGTACTCATGGGAATAGTGGAATGAAGGGCTGTTTGAGGTGAAAGAGTTCAGAGGGCAGTTTTCTCTGAGTAGGTAGCGTTTAAACAGACCTGAGGGGTGGGAAGCACCAGCCCATGAAAATGGAATTTCATTGCAACATTTCACAATCTTCCTCAACACTTTCTCTCAACACCTTAATGATTTATATTGTGTGATGGGGATGACTAACATTAAAGGGAGATGGGGGCTGGGCATGGTGGCTCATGCCTGTGATCCTAGCACTTTGGGAGGCTGAGGTGGGTAGATCATTTGAGGTCAGGAGTTTGAGACTAGCCTGGCCAAAATGGGGAAACCCTGTCTCTACTAAAAACACAAAAAATTAGTTGGGTGTGGTGGTGGGTGCCTGTAATCCCAGCTACTCAGGAGTCAGAGGCATGAGGATTGCTTGATAGAGGTTGCAGTGAGCCAAGATCATGTCACTGCACTCCAGCCTGGGTGAAAGAGTGAGACTCTGTCCAAAAAAAAAAAGACAGACAGAGAGAGAGAGAGATGGGAAGATTGACTCTAGCCTGTGATTTTCACTTTCAATTAGCGGTCTGTCCTTGGATGTCTCCTCATCTTTGCCTTGTGAGGTCTCATAATCTCTTTTACTTGCTCCCATGAGCACTGAAGGAACCAGACTTTATTTTGTGAGACAGAGTCTCACTTTGTCACCCAGGCTGGAGTGCAGTGGTGCAATCTTGGATCACTGCAACCTCCACCTCCCAGGCTCAAACAATCCTCCCACCTCAGCCTCCCAAGTAGCTGGGACCATAGGCACATGCCACCACGCCTGGCTAATTTTTGTATTTTTGTGTAGAGACAAGCTTTCACCATGTTGGCCAGGCTGGTCTCAAATGCCTGACCTCAAGTGATCCTCCTGCCTCGGCCTCCCAAAGTGCTGGGATTACAGGGGTGAGCCACTGTGCCCAGTCTAGACGTTATTTTATAGCTGATCTTCATAGGATTGGCTTGGATGCTTTCTCAGGTCCTACACAGGTAGATCGAATGAATCAGCACATGTTTAGTTACAAGTGGCAGAAAACCCAACACAAACTGGCTTGATCAAATAAAGGGGCTGAGCACAGTGTGTGGTGGCTCACACCTGTAATCCTAGCACTTTGGGAGGTTGAGACGGGCAGATCACTTGAGGTCAGGAGTTTGAGACCAGCCTGGCCAACAGTGAAATTACTTCTCTACTAAAAATACAAAAATTAGCCAGGTGTGTTCGTGCCTGCCTATAATCCCAGCTACTTGGGAGGCTGAGGCATGAGAATCGCTTGAACCCAGGAGAGGGAGGTTGCAGTGAGCAGAGATCATGCCACTGCAGGCTGGATGACAGAGTGAGACCTTGTCTCAAAAAAATAAATAAATACATAAATAAAAAGGGAATTGATTGATTCTCATAACTGGAAAGTTCAGGGGTAGTGTTCAGGTACAGCTGGATCCAGGATCTTTAACACTCTTGGTGGGAATCTGTTTCTTATCATGTTTTTGAACTTTGCTTTTCTTTGAGAGACAGGCTCTATTCCTGCATGTGGTAGGTTCCAGCAGATCCTTGTGTATATCCTTCTAAGTTCAAGTCCAGAGTAAAGAAAGCTCTTCTCCTAATGCTCCACTCAAAATTTGGTTCTGGTTGACTCTGGTTAAATCACATGTCCTATCCAGAACCAGTGACTGCAGCTAGGCTAAGGTATGAATTGAATTTCATCACTCCTGGAACTCGGTGCAGTTAGCTTTGACTGAACCACATGAAGTAGGAATACAAGAGAGGTGGTTCTCCAGAGGAAGTCATGAATGATGAATAGCCACTGCTAGAATTATGAAGACCTATGCATCAGCCCCCTTAAATCAAGGCTTAGTTTAAAATATTTTGACACCAAAGCATTTTGTGTGTTACTCTCTGGAATTGAAGAGTAAACATTGGAATTGAAGGGGTAAACATATTTCTGTAGGACCATAGAGGAAGAAAAAATCATTCTGGCTGAAACGTCATGAAGAAGGTGACATTTGAGTTGACACTGCCCCTCCCCCCCCACAAAAAAGGATGGCTGCACTTGGAAGTGCAGAAGGGCATTTCAGATGAAAGGACGGGTTTGAACAAAGGCAAAGAGACAGGAAATTATAAGGTTTTGTTGTGAGGTTGTGGAAAGGCCAGGTGTGGTGGCTCATGCCTGTAATCCCAGCACTTTGGGATCTCGAGGTGGGTAGATCACTCAAGGTCAGGAGTTCGAGACTAGCCTGGGCAACATGGTGAAACCCTGTCTCTACAAAAAATACAAAAAGCCAGATGTGGTGATGTGCACCTGTAATTCTAGCTACTTGGGTGGCTGAAACACGAGAATTGCTTGAACCTGGGGAGGCGGAGGTTGCATGAGCTGAGAGTGTGCCACTGCACTCCAGTCTGGGTGACAAAGCAAGACTCCATCTCCAAAAAAAGAAAAAAAAAAAAGAAAGAAAGAAAGAAAAGAAAAAGAAACGTTGTGGAAAAAGATACTGGAAAAGTTTCGATCTTGATGCAGAAGAAGTTGTATGTCCAAAGTGTCTGAAGGTCATAAGAGTGACTGAAGGAACTAAGCAGCAGACACAGACACAGGACACAAGTGCCTTTAATATTGGTGAAGGATATAAGAGATTCATTGCCTGAAGACACCTCCACAGTAGGGGACATACTCAGTTGAAGTAGCATCTTAAGGACATTAACTTGGATGCAGAGGCCAGGATGGTTTGGGGTGGGTATTCCTGAGGAGTAGGATGGGAGATCAGTCAGAAGACTACAGCAACAGCTTATTAATCCCCTCAGGCCTGGGGACCTCGATCATTCCTGGAGAGTTTATCTTTTATTCTTACTATATTTTTTAGGCTGAATCCATTTTGCAAGGGTTCCTGGATGATTCAGGATACAATATCCAGGACCTGAAGAGCTTTCATTTGGTAGGACTTGGTGCAACCCTGTGTGCTATAAACATAACTGAAATCCCGCTTATAAAGATCTCAGAATTCAGGTAACTAAAATATGAATGTGCAAAATGGCAAATGGGTTAATCCATCCATCTATCCATCCATCCATCCATCCATCCATCCATCTAGATATTCCACCTCCTGACACTTGGCACCTTTCTGGGCTAAAATCCCACTGGGCTAATGGGATAAGCTAGATCTGCTCTGCCTGCTGAGCCTACCTAACTTCTGCACATTGTGTGTGTGTGTGTGTGTGTGTGTGTGTGTGTGTGTGTGTGTGTGTGGTGTGTTTGTTTGTTTGGTTTTGGCTGAAGAGTCCAAACTCAGATTATATCCCTCCCTCTTTAACCACTACCAGGGTGGTAGTGGCCAGAATTGGGACCCTGCTCTGCAGCACGCATGTCTTGGCTGAGTTTAAGAGGAAGGCTGAAGTCGTGTTTGGGGATCCCACTGAGTGGACCAGTCCTGTCTTGCAGGAGCTTGGGACCATTGCAGGTAAGACTCACCCTGAGCATGCCTTTCTCTCCCTTTCCAAACTTAAATGTGGGGACACAAAATAAAACATGATCCTTGGCCACGTGTAGCAAACATCAGTGGCATTACAGTAGAACCTATATTTCATGATTTGAAGTTGCAGAGGGTGAGTCTGCAAATCTGCTTTTAAAACAAGCTCTCTTGGAGATCCTTGTGTACACTAAAGTTTGGAAAACCACTAGTTTAGAATGTGATTTAATTGACCCCTAAGTAGTTTTATACAAAATTTGAAAGTGTGTAAATTGAAGTTCCTTCTGGGCATGCGTTTCACTGTAGGAGGCCAATCAGGGCTAATGTGACCCACATTTTTTTTTTTTTCCTGAGTTGATGAAGGAACTTGATTCCCCAGTGTGATTTCCAGGGCCTTTTGTAAGGAATGATGCTTGCCTAGAACACTCAGATCTGAGCATTATGAAGCACCATTAATAAAACAAGCGGAGTTCTGATGGCTTGAACTAAACCCCTGTGATTCCTTTTTCTCCCCAGCTGGATTAACTAAGGCAGAGCTCCGGATGCTTGACAAAGATTTGATGCCATATTTCCAGCCATCAGCAATAAAATGCCTTCCTGATGAGATATTCAAAGTAGGTGCTCAGTTCTTCAAGGAGAAAGGGGAGCTTGACCCCATTTCAAATCACACAGGGAAACAGATGATGGGCCTTAGAATTTAGAGACTTGTGGCCAGACTCTGCTGATGGGGTCAGGGGAGATCTATATGAGTTTAGGTGTTTTTGAAAAATACTTTTTCTTAAAATTACATATGTGTTTTAATTATATTTATTTTTATGGTCACCTTCTCTTCTTCTAGCAGGTGGTACTGATTTTCTATTTATGGTGGTATGAGGTTCATAAACCCTTACGAAAACCCTTGGGGACAGATATAGTTCAGAATTGAGAATTTCTCAGATTTTAAAAAGATTATCCTGTACATTTACTGTATGTAACTTCATACCCCCAGCAGTGCCTGGGGAAGCACCTTGTAAGCAAACACATTAATATTTCTGTGAAGAAATCTGTGAGAAGCCACGCTAATTGGAATAAATAGAGATTATAAATAAATAGCCTCACATCACTTCAGGTCAAGTTTTGCTGATAAGTTTGACTTAAACTTTGGGGGAAAACTTTCAGTTTTCAGATTATTTTTGGACTTCAGAATTGCAGATGAGGGATTGTGGACCTTTTAATATTTCCTTTTAAAATACGATTAAATAAAAATATTTTAGTTGATTTAGGTCAGGCACGGTGGCTCACGCCTATAATCCCAACACTTTGGGAGGCTGAGACAGGCCAATCACCTGAGGTCAGGAGTTCAAGACCAGCCTGGCCAACATGGTGAAACCCCATCTCTATGAAAAATACAACGTTAACTGGACGTGGTGGTGGATGCCTGTAATCCCAGCTACTTGGGAGGCTGAGGAAGGAGAATTGCTTGAACCAGGGAGACAGAGGTTGCAGTGAGCTGAGACCACACCATTGCACTCCAGCCTGGGCAACAAGAGTGAAACTCCATCTCTCTCTCTCTCTCTCTCTGTGTATATATATATATATGTATTTTTTTCTCTCTCTCTATATTTTTAGTTGATTTAAAGAAAAATATTAGGAAAATCACAAGAGGACAGGTGAAAAACTGCTATGGAAAAAATTGAGAGGGTGGAATTGGATCAATTGAAGTAAGGGAAGCAAGGTATCTAATGACAGGTCCTTTTTTTTCTGTCTGTGTACAAGATTAGGGGAGTATTTGGTGGGAATAGTCTGCTCTGATGAGGAGGCAGTGACCCTGGTGTTCCTGTTTGCTGGGTAATGTGGGAATACATTTTGTCCACCACTTCTGGATAAAACACACAAATCAGGCTCAACAAACTCCCCTGGTGCCACATCACTTGTTCATTTCAAGAAAGATAGCCGACCTTCAATCATTTCAGCACTTCGGACAGTTCCGAGCACATTGCAGGCATAATAGCTGTCTGAGGGCAATAAATAGCAGTTCTTAAGGCCATTGAGCAAATACCTGTTTCCCCTCTGGGGCAGTCTGCATAGGACAAGCAGCCTGGCCTTGGATGCTGGCATTTTGCTAAGCGCTTTCTCTTGGTCTTGTTTGGAGTGCTGTTGTGCTGCTTCTTTGTACAGGTATTTATCTATTCCAGAAATCCCTACCAATCACCTACATTGTGGCAGGCTCCAGGGTAGGTGCACCTAAGGATGCACAGGTGAAGGGGTTATCACACAGTGCCTTCAGGGGCCTGAAAGGTAACACAAGGTGCAGTAGGCTGGGTAGAGACCGAAGTGAACTGGAGAGCCCTGTCTAAATGTGGAGGCTGCTTCTCATCCCTAGCACATTCATGCAGTGTGGCCACGTGGGCCCAGGATTGCTGAATTTTCCTTTTTACTTTTTTCAAGAAGAAGTCAGAAATCTTCATTTTCATATGGAATCGCTTGATAATTAAATGTTGGCAGCCAATCTGAATTTATTTTTGAAAACACAGTGCTGCAGGCCTAGAGATTCAATCTGGCCTGTGGGTCGCAAGTCAGCAACATTGATAAAAGAGATAATTTTTAGAATACAGACTCTGTGTTAATGGTATATGGAAGCCAAAAAAGCACCTATGTGCCCACCCCACCGTGTGTGTGTGTGTGTGTGTGTGTGTGTGTGTGTGTGTGTGTGTAGTGAGAGGAGAGGAGGTGATGCTGAATTTTAATTTTTTTGAGACAAAGTCTTACTCTGTTGCCCAGGCTGTGCACTGGCACAGTGATGGCTCACTGCACCCTTGATCCTCTGGGCTCAAGCAATGCTCTCACGTCAGCCTAAGTAACTAGGACTGCACATTTGGCTAATTAAGAAAAACTTTTTGTAGAGATGGGGGTCTCATTGTGTTGTTCAGGCTGGTCTCGAACTCCTGGGCCTGTTAATCATTCCGCCTCAGCCTCCTAAAGTGCTGGGATGGTAGGCATGAGCCACGGCACTTGACCGACCAGATGCTGAATCTTTGAGGGCAGCTAGTGATGAAGAGGAAACAGTGTTCCAGGCAGAAGGAGGTGCACAGAAAGGTGCTGCCTCTCGGGAACTGTAAATATTGGCACTCACTCTCCTGGAGTGAAGAATGCCAGGTGTGAGGCTGGAGAGGTGGGCAGAGTTTTTTCCAGGAGCCTGAACTGTGTTCTGGAATGGGGTGCCTGGAAGGGCTTTACACAGAGGGATATGATTCCAGGGAAGTATCTACCTGGACAAAAGAGGAGGAGAGGGTGACTGACAGGAGAGGAAGGGATAAGGGAGCATAAGCATCTTTCCCAGATTGTTCAGGGCCTTTAGAAAATAAACACGATTATGTAGAGTCCCCTTTACAAGAGCAACATCCTGCCATCCCAACGTATTCCAGTCCCATCGGAACGAGTCACCAAGTCCTTTGATCTGAAAGTGACTTCAGAAGACACCTTCTTCACAGTCTTTGAAGACATAGTCTGGCCAGCAGAATTTCCTACTCATGTTGTCCATGGCAGATATCACCAATAGATGACTGCATTTTGCCTCCGTGGAGCCCTCACAGAGCTCATCACATGGTGCTCAGGCAGTCAAACCAAAGGATCAGAATCAGTCAGCAGAGGAGATGAGTTCTCTGTGCTGTCTCACATTTATCCCCAAAGCCCAGGGAGGCTGTGTAATTTTTCCAAGGTGACACAGCAAGCATGTGGCAGAGCAGGGGCTCAAATTCAGGCCTCTGGTCTTTAAGACCTGTGTTTCCCCCTCCACATCAGTGTTTCAGGAGGTGGAAGACTTGAAGCACTGGAAAGCTGGCTTGCATTGCATTAAACAACATTGCCACATAGGGAGGAAATCATGCCTCTCTTTTCAACTCTCTGTTAGTACTTCTAATTACCTCAAGGAAGAAGTGTCAATTTAACACCTATATAGTACATTTTATATTCTCTCTCTCTCTCTTTTTTTTTTTTTTTTTTTAAGAGGCCAGGGGTTCAGATATTGTTGGCGGACAAATCTAGCTAGGATTCAACAATATTGTTTTATCTTTGTTTTGCGGCTCCTATTTAATGCTTGCTTATGGCAAGTCTGCGGCTTTCCATTTTTGGAAATTTCCATTTTAAAATTTCTATTTTTAAATGCATTTATTTTGGTAGTGCAAGAGTGATCTAATTTTAAGGAAACATCTTAAAGAGGACCACACATGATACACACAAGGAGATGACAAAGTTGTGCGCATCCTGTGCCGGACGCCTGAGGTGTGGGAAATCCGGGGAGGGGCCCCGTGTGAAGGTGCTGCCCCTTTGCCTCCCGCAGGAGCTGTCCGCGGAGCAGATCGCCTCCCTGGGCCCGGAGAACGCCGCGGCGGTGACCCACGCCCAGCGCCGGCGGCTCAGTCCGCTGCAGCTGCAGAGCCTCCAGCAGGCACTAGATGGCGCCAAGACTCACTCCTGGCAAGACGCGCCCGCTAGCGCCGGTCCCACTAGGACCTCATCCTCGCGTTCTCCCGCAGGTGAGCAGAGTCGCCCTCTGCCCCGTGTCCCAGCCTCACTTTCCTTCCCTGTCCTCCCTGTCAGGCCTGGGGTGGGAAAATTCTTAAGATTCAGAGCGGGGTCTCTGACAGTCACTGGGGATTCTGCCCTCAGTGAAAAACCCAAAGTTCCTATCAAGCTTCCCTACCAAGTTTCAGGATTAATGATTCTCAACTATGGCTGCACTTGGGTGGTGGGCATTAAAAATCTTCCAGTTCCCCGGCCCCTATCCAGAACGAATCCCATCAGAATCTCAGGACTAAATTCATTTTAGTGGCTCCTTTGCAAACTCCCTCCTCACTATCCAATAATAATTAACTATTATTATTATTATTATTATTATTATTATTATTTTGACTCAGAGTCTCGCCCTGTCGCCCAGGCTGGAATGCAGTGCCACGATCTCGGCTCACTGCAACCTCCACCTCCCAGGCTCAAGCGATCCTCCCACCTCAGCCTCCCAAGTAGCTAGGATTACAGGTGTGTGCCACACACCTGGTTAATTTTTGTATTTTTAGTAGAGATGGGGGTTCACCATGTTGGCCAGGCTGGTCTTGAACTCCCGACCTCAGGTGATCTGCCCACCTCAGCCTCCCAAAGTGTTGGGATTACAGGTATGAGCCACCAAGCCCGGCCTTGTCCAATATTAACTAATTCAATCCATGTTTACTGGGCACCTGCTATGTTCCAAGTCTGCCGTAGGGGCTGGGAATACAGAGGTGAGCAAGATAGATAAGGCCCTCTTGTAAATGAAGAAGATATTTCAAATCTGACAAGACCAGGGAGGGTGATAATGACTAAGGGCTGAGCTAAGATAGAGAAGCCTCTCCAGGGAGTGGCATTGGATCCTGGGAACATGACCTTCTTTCCTTTTTCTCCCCCATGCCTTTCTTACATCTCTCCCCCTTTCTCCTTCACTTTCTCACTTCTTTGTGATGCCTTCTGTTCTTAACACCACATTAGGACCATGCTTTGGGGAGATAGCTTCTAACAAGCGAGAGATGTCCCCTGCCCTCGTTGAGCTCTCAGTGCAGCCTGGCGGGGAGGGAAGACATGTGTCCTGGTGAGCACGAGGCAGTTGCTGGGTGCTGAGAGGGGGAACACACAGGGAACACACATGGGTCAGGAAACCTCCTAAAGTCAGTGATGTCTCAGGTGAGACACAAGGTGAGAAGAAGATGGACTTAGCGAGGTGGACAGTGTCCCAGGAGTAGGTACCGGCATGGACAAGTACCCAGAGAAGACAGAGGACTTGGTGCTTGACTAAAACCTCCACTCTAGCTTTTCCTGACTTGAATGTCTCCCTACCCTGGCTTCACACAGGGATGGTGAATTGGGGTATTCCCCATTTCTGCAGCCACAGTGGCCAGAGGTGGCACTTGAATACACAAACCATGCCTTTTAATGAATTATATTATTACTTTAAAATACTTTTCGTTGAGGCTTGTCACATTGGCTCATGCCCGTAATCCTAGCACTTTGGGAGGCCGAGGCGGGTGGATCACCTGAGGTCGGGAGTTTGAGACCAGCTTGGCCAACATGGTGAAACCCTGTCTCTACTACAAATACAAAAATTAGCTGGGTCTGGTGGTGGGCACCTATAATCCCAGCTACTTGGGAGGCTGAGGCAGGAGAATTGCTTGAACACTTGGGGCGGAGGTTGCAGTGAGCTGAGGTCCTGCCAGTTCACTCCAGCCTGGGCAAAAGAGCAAAACTCCATCTCAAAACAACAACAACAACAACAACAACAACAAAATTTTCATTGAAATATGATATGCATATATTCAAAAGTTATTTGTAAATGTTATAGCGTCTTACACGAATAGATAATATGCACAATGGGTAATGCACAGGGTTCCAAATATATAAAGTCTGAAAGGCATGTAGTGAAACCTTTTCCTCCATCCTGGGTCCCCCAGCCACCCAGTTCCCTCTCCAGAGGCAACCAATGTTACCAGCTTCTTATGTATTTGTCCAGAGATATTCTATGCATACACAGCAAATCAAATATAGATGATCTCTGCACTTTTCACAAAAGCTTATTATACACCTTGTTCTGCACCTTGCATTTTTCACCTAACAATACACTTTGGAGGAAATTCTGTATCTGTGCACAGGAGCTGTGCCATTGTTGGTTTTATGGCTGTGCCATAACTGTATTCAACCAGAGGTCTGTAGATGGACCTTTCAGTTGTTTGTTTTTTGTTTTTTTTTTTGCTGTTATGAATAATGCTGCAGTTCCTGACCTGATATAATTTGCATCTGTGCAAATATGTCTGTAGGATAAACTCTTTAAAGTGAGATTGCTAGATCACAGGGTCTGCATTTATAATTTTGATGGATGTTGGTCGGGCGTGGCGGCTCACGCCTGTAATCTCAGTATTTTGGGAGGCCGAGGCAGGCGGATAACTTGGGGTCAGAAATTTGAGATGAGGCTGGCCAACATGGTGAAACCCCGTCTCTACTAAAAATGCAAAAATTAGCCAGGTGTGGTGGCACGTGCCTTAGTCCCAGTTACTAGGGAAGCTGAGGCAGGGAAATCGCTTGAATCTGGGAGGCGGAGGCTACAGTGAGCCGAGATGGTGCCATTGCACTCCATCCTGGGTGACAGAGCGAGACTCTATCTGAATTTTTTTTTTAATGGATGTTGTCAAATCCCCTGCAGAAAGGTGTGACGGGTTTTCCCTTGAAACAGCAGTGTCAGAAAGTGATGAGGGTGCCTTACAAAGATGTCCCCTGCCTGTCCCTGGCTGGGCAAGATCCTGGATGCCCCTCCTTCATTCACCCCAAAGGCCTAAGTGAGGGCTGCCATTGGGTGAACCCTTCCTATGGATCAGAGCCCTAATCTTTTGTTTCCTAAACTTGCTTAATATCAGAATCACCTGGGAGAGATGCTTAAAATACAAATTCCTGGGCCTCCTGGCAGACTTGCTAAATCAGAATCTCCAGGGGATCCTGGAATTGGTGTTTTTAATAAGCTCCCTAGTACATGCTGACTGACACAATCTCATTTAATTCTCACTCCCCCACCTCGCCTCCTCTTTGAGGGTCATTGTTCCCATTTAAGAGATGAACAAACCAAGGCTCTGCATCAAGTGGTCCCAGAGAGAGACTCGGGGAGTTGGACAAGACATGTCTACCTGCTTGCTGCTGGGACTTCATGTGTACTCTTACTTTGTGTTTGCTTTTAGGAGCTCCCCTGTCGTGGGATCTTTGGCTTGGTTGTCCTCTGCTTGTTCTAATGGCTAAGCTTCTGTGGTGAGTGGCCTGAGCGCATCGTCCTGTGTTGCCCCAAGCAGCTGGCCAACGCGTGTAGAGACACGATGCTTCAGACGGTGGGAGACCCTTCCCTGGATCCAGACCCTCATCTAGGGCAGGGAGACCCCGGGGCCATGATGGTGAAAATGCATCCAAACTGAAAAATAATTATTAAAAATGATCTTGCAAATTATTTTTAATTTTTTTAAATTTTAATTTTCGTGAGTACATAGTAGGTATATATATTTATGGGGTACATGAGATGTTTTAATACAGGCATGCGATGTGTAATAATCACATCATGTAAAATGGGGTATCCATCACCTCAAGCCTTTATCCTTTGTGTTATAAACAATCCAATTATACTCTTTCAGTTATTTTTAAATGTACAATTAAATTACTATTGACTATAGGACCGGGCACAGTGGCTCACACCTGTAATCCCAGCACTGTGGGAGGCTGAAGCAGGTGGATCACCTGAGGTCAGGAGTTCAAGACCAGCCTGGCCAACATGGTGAAACTCCATCTCTACTAAAAATACAAAAATTAGCTGGACATGGTGGTGCGCGCCTGTAATTCCAGCTACTCGGGAGGCTGAGGCAGGAGAATTGCTTGAACTGGGGAGGCGGAGGCTGCAGTGGGCAGAGACCGTGCCACTGCCCTCTAGCCTGGGTGACAGAGTGACTTTGTCTCAAAAAAACAAACAAACAAACAAAAATGACTGTTGATTATAGTCATCCTGTTGTGCTATGGAAGAGTAAGTCTTACTCATCTTTCTATTTTATTGTACCCGTTAACCATCTGCCTCCTCCCCCCACAACTCTCCCATTACCCTTCCCAGCCTCTGTTCACTGTCCTTCTCCTCCATCTCCACGGGTTTAATTGTTTTGATTTTTGATCTTGCAAATTGTTAAGCCCACTCATCTCCTCAGTGGGAAGCCCTTCTCTGTCCCATTGCAGCCTCTTTTGTTTTCCATCTTGGAGACAGAGAACCTGTGGGGAAGGAATGGTGTTTTCTATTAACAGTACAAGGCCCTTACAAACAAGTTGCTGCTCTCGCTTTAGAGAGATACCAGAGAGAGGCAGTGCAAGAAAAGGCACCATTTTAGCCAGGGCCTGATCTAGTTTCTACTTGAGCTTAATTTCACTTTCTTGAAGCTACAGGCTACATTGGATTTCTCCCCTACGATATTTAGCAGAGCTGAAATAAATGAATCCCTGAGCAGAAGCCAATATTCTTGGCTGATTGCTGGGACTAATTGATGTTTTGGTGGGCATTGCATTGGTTGGAAATTAAAACATTTAACATGGCTCAACGTTAAATCAATTTTAAAATACATTTTTCAGATGTCTTCCATTTCCTTGGGACTCAGCTGAATGGATGGCTGTGAAGTTATCATTAAGCTCTCAAAATATTCCCTTTTTTTGGTGGAGATGGTGGTGGCTCTTCTGGTTTTAAGTTGCTCTGGGCTTTGGGGAATGGGCTGAAATAAAAAATAAAAATATGCTGGGTAAGTCAATCACTGGTGTGATCCTGGTGCGGCTGAGCAAACTCCGCCCACTGGCTCGATCCTTCTAGAATGAAGTTACTTCTGGGAATTGCCAAGATGCTTTTAGCCTTAGGTTTAGGAAGTCAGGGCTCAGGGAAGGGGGGCAGCAGTGGTGTTTGCAAACACCTTCTCAAACACAGCATCACAGCTGCTTGGCAGGGCGTTTCTCTGGTGGCATCCTAGGCGCTTCTGTTCTGCCACCAGCACACCTTGGGTTCTCCTCCTAGTCACTCATCCACAGTAGACGTCTTATCTAGAGATAAGAAGAAAACCCTGCATGTTTCCGAAAATCTGTGGTGTCCCATAAAAGGCAGTTGATATTACAAAGCATCATGAGTAGCTATTGCAGAGGCTCGAGTGTATTTTCAGAGGTCACGTGGTTTTATAGAAAACTAAGACTGCAGTGTGAAAGGTGTGATCCTACACGTGTTATTTAAGGTCTGACTTGGTTTTCCTTCATCCTGGTAGGGAAGTGGCAACAAATGGTGCTTCTCAAGTACAGAACATTAATTTTTTTTTTTTTTTTGAGATGGAGCCTCACTCTGTCATCCAGGCTGGAGTGCGGTGGCACAATCTTGGTTCACCGCAACCTCTACCTCCCGGATTCAAGGGATTCTCCTGCCTCAGCCTCCTGAGTAGCTGGGTTTACAAGCATGTGCCACCATGCCTGGCTAATTTTTGCATTTTTGATGGAGATAGGATTTCACCATGTTGGCCAAGCTGGTCTCGAACTCCTGGCCTCAAGTGATCCGCCTTAATTTTCTTACAAACAGAAGCCCCCACTTTAGCTGGGCTGGACCAGCTGCTTGAAGAGGGGTGCTTGATGAGAACGTGTCTGCACAGACTCCCATGAGGATGTCCTTGGATCTCAATCGGTATTCTCACTTTCTGCCGGTCTTGGATTATCCTGGACAAGAAAAAGCAAACAGTAACAAAATCCACTCTCCTGTGAGTCAGGCTTCACACTGCCAACTTCATGTAGCTTTTGTATTTCATCTCTCTTTCTGCTCATTTGTTTCTGCTCTAATTCCTGTTTCTTTCCTCCCATCTTGAATAATGACTCCCATTACAGAGGGTTGACTCTGGGTCAGGCTGTCTAAGGGCTTTCACTGTGTCATTAGCTCATTTCATGGTGGCCATGCTCCTGCCAGGTAGGCACTGTTAGGATTCCCATTTTCCAGATGAGGGAACTGAGCCTGGGAGAGGTTACGGAGATCTTGTCTAAGCTTCCCAGATAGCACAAATTCGAATCCTGACTTCTTTATCTCTGCACCGTGCTGCCTCCTGGGCGAGTGTCCTTTAACTTCTCTAATAAGTCAGATCAGAGAGAGATTCTGTAAATCCCTTCGCCTCCTCCTCTGGCGGGAGGCCAGTTTGCCTCACAGCACATATAATTGGTGATCGCCCCAGGCAGAAAGACAAATCTAGCTGATGCCTTGCAGAAACCTCAGGGCCTCAGGTTGAAATGCACAGTCCTTTGCATGCAGGAAAGCAGCAGGTCACGCTGGCAGGTGCTGCTCCCATTCACCTTTCAATGTCAGCTCTCCTGATGGATTTCTAGCCTCAATCCTCCACAGCCCTTCTCAGCTGGAGGCAGGGATCACTGGCACTTGTATGCAGATCACAGTGTGGTGTCTTTGGTTCTTATCAGTCAGGACTTGTGCCATTCTGGCTTCTAAATTTTTTGAATTTTACCCCAGTTAGATACTTTTGCAGAATCTCCACCTTCAGGCCCCCTCCAGACACCAAGCCTGGCTTGATGGGGGCTGCAACTTCAGCCTAACATCCAGTGGAACTTAGAATGAAGTTATCCTCTCCAGTCCTGGTACTCAGGGGTTCAGCCACAGCTGCTTGTGATGGGTGAACATCTTTGGTAGTACCAAAGAGAGGTTACTGTGTCTTGGGGCGTGTGTGTGTTTACTCTGTTTTACTGAAGTCATGGAAGACAGTTACAACACAGTAAACATCTTAATATTCAATACTAGGCACTTTTGCCTCTTGAGGGGCCTTTAAAAATATTGGGCCAGGCGTGGTGGCTCATACCTATAATCTTAGCACTTTGGGAGGCTGAAGTAGGAGGATCACTTGAGGCCAGGAGTTTGTGTCCAGCATGGGCAACATAGGGAAATGCTGTCCCTAAAAAAAAAAAAAAAAGAAAAAAAAGGGCTGGGGGCAGTGGGTGGGTGGTTCAATCCTGTAATCCTTGTACTTTAGGAGGCTAGGCAGGCAGATATCTGAGCTCAGGAGTTCAAGACCAGCCTGGGCAACATGGTGAAACCCTATCTCTACTAAAATACAAAAAATTAGCTGGGAGTGGTGGCATATGCCTGTTGTCCCAGCTACTTGGGAGGCTAAGCAGGAGAATTGCTTGAACCTGGGAGGTGGAGGTTGCAGAGAGCCGAGATCGTACCACTGCATCTGAGTCTGGGCAACAGAGTGAGACTGTGTCTCCAAAAAAAGAAAAATTAGCCCCTGCCTAGTGGCACATGCCTGTAGTCCCAGCCACTCAGGAGGCTGAAGGGGGAGGATCGGTTGAGCCCAGAAATTTGAGGTTGCAATAAACTATGATTGTACCACTGCACTCCAGCCTGGGTGATGGAATGATCTATATGTATATCTGTATCTATATCTATATCTATTTGTATATGAGATATATAGCTCTCATATATATAAGATATAGCTATATATCTCATATCTTATGTATGTGAGAGCTATATATCTCATATATAGGAAGATAATATGTATGAGATGCATATAACTCATGTATGTGATAATATATCTTATATATAAGATAATATATGAGATACATATCATATATAAGATTATATTTAGATATAATATATAGATATATAGATATCTATAATATATATTATATATAGCTATATTATATATATTTATATATAAATATATTGTATATATAGATAATATATATAAATCTTATCTATATTATATATCTATGTTATATATCTGTATTATATATAATATATATAATAATCTTACATATAAGATTATGTATTGCTTATAAATATAATATAACATAATATAATATAATTGAAAAAAAGTAAACGTTGCAGAATTCCCAGGCCACATGGTGTCTAGTTGGGACATCTACAAAGTGTGTGTCTTAAAGTAGTCTTGAACTGAGTACCCTCCTCAAATTCATTCAAGACCTCCAACGATTCCTAGGATTCTTCCAATACCATAAGTAGTTTGTATTACACTTTTCTTCTGTCACTTCCCTGATTACTGATTGTTTCAGAAAGGGACATGGGCTTGACTGATCCATGGAGATATCTGCAGCTTGCCAACAGGTGAAGTCTTTATTTGCCTTTATCTCCATTGTGGCCTCTGATGAGCCAGACTACAGAGATGCTGATAAAATCTGGGAAGCAATGGTGGACGCTGTAGTTTCCCAGAACTCTGGCCCTTGGGAATTCCTTCCAGTCTCTGAGTCCCTGTGGCACATCCCGTGTATGGCAAACTAGATGATTGTTCCCAATGATTCTGCTTACTTCCTTTATTAGAATTATAAGCTTTTTGCCATGTGACTTTGTAGTACATCTCAGTAGGTAGAGTCTAATTCCTTGCCCTTCTAACTTTGGGCTTTGGTCATTGGAATGTGAGCAGACTCAATATTTTCCCC